TGAATTAAACATGCATTGCCAAAAAATCATTTTGCCTAAGCTAGAAACATACGTAATTAAACTATTAGCTGTCTAAGAATAATATAGAAGTGGTAACCCAATTATTTGGGAAATTTTAATCATAGTAGATGACTTAGTCGTTGAATTTATATATTAGGGTCACGGGCTCTGTTTTGTCGTATTTTTTGCAATCTCTAATTCTCTATAAATGCCTCTACTTTGGAGGAGGGAGGGTTTGAACGCGGTAGGTTGATAATGAATGGTAAGAATCAAGACAATCCATTACTTGCAAAGTAAGACTTAATTTGTTACAAGCATATAGTTTGTTGTGTTGATAAACATAAACGCATAATTAACTTGGTTTTATTTGAGTTTTAATGGAGATCATCAAATTAAAAATTCATATGTTGTCCACTTCGTTCCATTTCAGAATCAGAATACAAGGTAATAGGTTATTACACAAAATAAGACATTTGTCAAACTAAACCTCTGCTTTTTAAAATATACACACAATTGTCCCAAAATGCTTTAGATTTGAGAGTGGGCTGGGCACCTTACCAAAACGTTGGGGTTCAAAACTTTCTCTAAAGTCCAATATTCAACATTGCAGAGCGTCGGACCTCGATTTGAAATAAAGCCCACCTCTTAGCATAATAATTTTTCGGCTCTTTTTCCAAACATAAAAACTGTTTTCAAACAAAACTTTCTTCCCTACCGCTCAAACCCCTCGTATAAGCATTCCAGATCAAAATTGAGTAATGATAAGAATACCAACTATTAAATTAAATTTTATAAACTATATGATTTGACTATTGACGATTCAATTATTACTTAAGTATTGAATAACGTATTTGTTTTGACACTCATATGATTTACTAATTTGATCTAAAAGTTGATCTACCAAGCATTACTCATCAAATTTGCAATGGCTCGTAGCTAGAATGCCAAATGTGATACATAACTATGGCTTGTAGCAACGGTATGCTTAGGTTATTCCTTCCCCTAAATTGTTTTATAAAGCTTTTATTTAGTTTTAAAATTTTAAGAGATTGTGTTTTGTCTGATTCAAGATTTTAGGGATATATATATCAATACTAGCTTTCCTTTTTTTTTTTTTTTTTTTTTTTTTTTTCTTTTTTTTTAACCTTCATCGTCTTCTCTATTCGTGATTTGGATAGTTCTCATACCTTTTTCAATATGGTTATTACTATGTTCCCTATGTAAGACATGTAAGCAACACGGTACATAGATCACAGATATACCATTGAATCACAAAACTCAAGAACAATATGACAACACAAGAACAAGGAGAAAAATACCTGCATAACTCAATGCGGAAGATGAAGCTATCACAGCTTTGAAACTACTAGCCTTCTCCTCTTTAGCAAAACACAATTGCTCCCCAAATATCAGGTCTTTGGAACGAAATAAGCAGAGAGATCGCAAGAGCAGTGGCTACGTTCACATATATACTGAATGTTTTCCTAACTATCTTCCTATTAGAATCAGTATGGGAATCAAACATTCAATCCATATTCGACACTAGAAAGAACTTACAGTCCTAATACAAGTCAAGCCCCTAAACATGAACCAACTTTCAATACTTTTAATCCCACAAGAAAAAGGATTACTTCAAGCTTATTAACAAGACTTTTCCACATCGAACTCATACACTATAACTGGTTCAATATGTCAAAAACATACTCACACTCTAACACCCTATACTTGCAGATGGAGAATCGATACATTGGCTGATTTTCTACTCAATCTTTTTTCCAATTGCCGTGTCTAAATATCTCTTCACCGGTGCATTTCGAAAGAGTAATGCTGGGGGAAGGCTGAAAGGTCTATGTGAGTCTTCCGACCGTTGAAAAGGTGGACTACTGTGACGAAGCCAATAGCTAGTCCCCTATTTAAAAGAAGAAGAATATTAAATATAAATATGCAGCTGTGTCTGAACACAAAATGTGGACACATTTTTTCCAGATAAAAACAACATAACAAGTATATGTCTATCTACAGAATATACAATTTACAACAGCTCAAAACCTTGTCTGTTTATTCACTTTTAGGCATCAATAAACAACATAGCATGTCTATGTCGAGCTACATGATTTGCTAAATATCAAATGACCAGTAGACCGTCGAATGGAGCTCCTTTAGCTTTTTGTTCCCAAGCGATAGTGATATTTCATTAAAGTTACACCACGATTACATAAAGGGTGCCAAACTGGGTGCATTTCTTAAGTGACCAAATCCTTAATCTGCAGTGAGTAAATCACAGAAAACAAACATAGTAAATCCCTTACATGGCCACCACAAACAATAGAAAACAAAAGAACTAGTGGCGCAAATCTACCACAATAGGTACCACACAACCCCTAAGCGGCACAAACAAACACAAATTACAACGAAGCCGAGAAGGAAGCCATCGACGGCTCATCTCCACAGCAAAAAACAAGGCAGATCGTTCTCAAACAATTCGTAGTAACACGACCAAAGCAAGAAAACCCGCTGCAAATAAGCCCCCCTGTGGAAGGCTTCTTGGCCGAAGAGCAAGCGTTGGCTCCGTCATAGGTCCACACCACCGCCGAATCAAGATGGATCCGCATCAATTATGGCTCAAACAAGGTGAATTCGGCTCGAATTTGAGCATGCAAGGTGGCTCAGCCACTGAAACTGCCAAGAAGCTCACGACGACCTTGCAGCCAATGACGCAAAGGTAAAAGAACCGCCAATTATGGTTGCGTACGTCTCTCTATGGAGAATTTGTAGCGTCAGACAGGGGCCATGTGTTCATGCAGCTATACACAGCATAGGAGTCCCTTGCATTTTTTCAACAACCAGGTCTATGTGGTAGTTTCATGCATGTAGAATGTTGATACGACCGGTTGTACAGAAGAAGAATTTGCTCCCCTTGAATGGCCGAATGTCATAATCGGATCTTGAGACAATAATACAAGAGGAAAGTCTTTCCTATTTGCCTTCTCCAATTACATTTTCCACTGCGGTTCACTTGCACAATAACAATAGAGAAATCGACATACAAAGTGACAAAAAATGAGCGAGAAAGGTTAACTAATAAAAGATAAATAAGAAATATAGTTAGAATTCATGATAATACAATATCATGTGCATATCTACACATTGCTACGTAGTATTACAGTCTAGTGGTATTCGTCTTCACTAGTAATTAAGATGTCTTAAGTTCGATTCTCGTCAAAGAAAAATTTAAACCACATTATTACCAGTCTATTGTGAGACTTAGCTTACTTCTCCATCCCTTTAATGTAGATAATATCGTTTATTAAAATAAAAAATATCATATGCATCACACATATTGCATTTATACGTAAGTTATTCTCATCTGTAAAAAAAAAAAAATAACAACATTTGTCCAACTTCTAGGTTCTTGGTTAATCTTTGGTATGCCCCCTGAAATTTAAACCTTTCTTCTTTTTTTCTTTTTTTTTTTGGCATTTCAGTCTTTATCGTTGAGAATGGGATATTGGAACCAATTTTTATTTTTCTCTTGCGCACAGCGCCGTCAGATCCACACTCGAAGTGGCGTCAGTGTGGGTAGATGGAAGAAGATCCAAGAGAAGGAACAAGACGATGATGGATTTGACTGAAGGAAATGGAGAGTGGGTTAAGTCTTATAATGAATTAATAACAATATGGTTAAAATCATCTTTAACAAGAATTGAACTTAAGACATCTTAATTAAAAATAAAAAAGAATATCATTATACCGTAATATGAGTGGCGCAAAATGGTGATATGTTTAAAAAACTAAATAAAATTAAGTTTGACTTGGGTCATACCAAAAAATAAGCATTTATAATACGGAGAGATTTTTCAAAGTGTTCGAAACATGGCGTGTCTCTATACAATTGGTGAGATTCTTGTGCTAAACAATTAATAACTTAAAAAATAAAAAAAATTACCACTTATATAATAACACGAGGTACATAAAAAAATAAAATTAATAACAGAAAAAATAAAGTTCCCACCACTTATGTCATGTTAAAAGGAGTATTTATCAATAGTAGTCAAAATTCAAGTGATTTGGATTTAATAGGTATTTACGTCTATTTAAATGAGTTTTTTGATATATTTAAAAGATTTTATAAAAAAATGATATTTATAAAATTTGATGTTAAATTTTTTGACTATTATTAATAAATACTCTGTTAAAAGAGAGGCCAATCAAGTTGCCCATAGACTTTTTGTGCGGGGATGGGTTGTTGTTGTTGTGGCATGAAGAACCTTCAGACTTAATTGCGGATGTACTAGTTGAAGAAGTTTCCTATTAATCGTTTTCCATTGTAATTTGTTTGTGAAGATATCTTTTAGTTAATTGTGCGGGATGTTTTTTTTTTTCTTCGATCGGTTGAAATCTTCGGTAAGATTTTTATCGAAGCTTATATATGCACAATATTCACCTATTGTATGGTTTCTAACTTTCTTAATAAATATCGTACTTTCTCAACAAATCAAAAAAAAAAATAAAAACACGTACTCTTCATCTATCACAAGGTGCTTCCTTGCTTTCGTACGTGTCACTGTAAGTTAACCAATCATCAATTCAGCCATCGACCACGACCATTTCCATTTCTCCTCTCCCAAGATCGCCCCTTTGTCCCCACTCCCATTTCTAAGTTCCAAAGGTCATCTCACTACCACTACCACTACCACAACCGCCGCCGCGTTCTTCCGCCGTCTGCTTCTCTTCTCCTCCAGGTACTGCAGTTGTCTTCCTCCTTAACTCTTACCTTCTGTATTTCTTAGTTTGATCTTCCATCTCTAGCGTTAATTAGTTAGAATCAAGGATTTTGCTTTACGGTATTGGAACCGCAATTAACCATTTTTCTATGATTTTATTATTTTTATGTGTTTGTTGATGATTAAGTAGTAATGCGATTGGACATCCATCAGTTTATTCCTTCTTAAGACCCTCTGCTCATATAGCCAAGTTGGCCAGAACAGTGTATATGGGCACAAGTTTGCATCTCCTTTTCCTTAATTTAGATTAGTTAATTAACGATATTGCACCAATAAAAAAAGGAACTAGTCAAAAAGGTAGAATCTTTTTTTTATTCCTTCTTTTTATTTGTAGAGCTTTAGTGCGAAACACGAATGTTATGCCATGTTCTTTTGAAACTTTTATGTCATTCATTGTCGTCGAATATACTTCTGAGATATGGTTGTGCTCTATATTGTGGATTTTTTTGTGTGTTAATTTTTGGGGGTTGGGGGTTTGATTGAGGCAGATATGGATGCCAGTACAGGTCCAAGTCTCTACCCGTTGCACCGGTCTAAAACTCTTCACCTGGTTTGTTACAGGCTTAATTCCTGTTTTCCTTCTTCTTTTTTTGTCCTTTTAAATCGTGGTCTTTGAAGTGCATTCAGGTGTTTTCTGACTAAGTGATCATATATCCAGGTAAGGCATGGACAAGGGATTCACAACGTGGAAGGCGAGAAGGATCAATCGGCATACTTGTCTTATGATCTTTTTGATGCACATCTTACCCCTCTTGGCTGGAGTCAGGTAATTACTAATGAAACTGATTAGTTGAGTTTATGTTTGGTATAAAAAATGCTATTACTGTAAATCTTTTCAAACTCTTTAAACCGATAAGAGTTTTAGAGTTTGTTCAGTATATGCCGGCTGTACTAGAAATACTGTATTTTTTTTTTTTTTAAATATTTCTGTAAGTTTGATGTTGTACTGAACCAATATTTCTATAAGTTTTTAAGTTCCTTGTGTCTGCTGCTAAGTGGTCTTTTTATTTATCCCACAATAAATCAACAAATGCCATGTAATCAATTTTTTCTGTCATAACAGGTTGATAATCTGCACAAGCATGTTCAAGCATGTGGACTTTTCAAGAAAATTGATTTGGTCATAACATCTCCTTTGTTAAGGTATCTCCTGTTCAATTTTTTTTTTTCCTAAAACTTCTATGATCAGGTTCTGCATGGATATCATTAGAGCAGTCCCACTTTTTCTTGTGTTTTTTTTTTTTTCTGTGAACTTTCATGACACTTACTTTTTTGATAGAATTTTGAGGAAGAAATGCATACACTCGTTCTCTAATACATAAGCTTGTAAAAAGCCATTTACTTTGTGGAAAGAAAATAACCAATAGCATTATATGACAGATTCTATGAGACAGGTGAAATTATGCACCAGTTTAATCTTTAAGATCATCTTTGCTTCCATCTCTGAATGAAGAAGGATACTACCTTTTCAATTAGGTTGGTTGGGCTCCCTTCATGTGTCAAAAAAGAGCTTTGTATCTTGCACTGTATAATTATAACATTTGTTTCTTGTTTTTTTGTAAAGGAAACAAAAAGAACAGCTGCAGGTACTCTTGCATCAATGGATTAGTTAAGAATCTACATTTGTTGAAGCGAGTTGGATTCAAATAGACATTAAGATGACGAGGTGCTGTTGAAATGATTTAGAAACTTGACACTGCTAACCATACAGTCCTTTAGATATCTCTCTTTTGAAAACTGATAATGGCTATGAAACTAATTATTGAATGATTGGATAAGTATATGTTCCTTGAAACCTTAAGCTGCTGTTAAGGCACTTTTGTTTATAACCAATAGTTGCATTGTAGGACCATGCAGACAGCAGTGGGTGTTTTTGGGGGTGAAGCATACACAGATGGGATAGATGTACCTCCTCTAATGGTTGCAAATGCTGGGAACAGTAACCATCCTGCAATTTCAAGTCTAAACTCCCCACCATTTATAGCAGTGGAGCTTTGCCGCGAACATTTGGTATGCCATGTTAAAAGTTAAAATTAGTAAGAGCTATGTAGGCTATGTATAGAAGGTACAAAGAAACACACACAGAGATGGGGTCTGGTTTGGGTAATTTGGACTCCACTCATGCAATAACAATAAGAAAATGAAAGTGGTTCATTTCAAAATTTCCTTCTCTCACCCTTCACACAACCACTGGGTTTTAACTGGACATTGTACTTAAATGTGTGTTTTTTCTCTTCTCCTGCAGGGTGTTCATCCATGTGACAAGAGGAGAAGCATTAGCGAGTATCGGCCTCTTTTTCCTGCAATTGATTTTTCACTGGCAAGTGACTTGTTGCAATTAAATTGACAAAAGCTATGGCCGTCGGTTTACTAGCTTTGGTTTTGGTTGCTTGTCTAACCATCAACTTTGATTGATTGTTTAGATAGAAAATGAGGACGACATTTTGTGGACACCTGACATTAAAGAGAAAACTGAACAACTGGAAGCTAGGGGAGTGGAGTTTTTGAACTGGTGATCTCTTAATTACTCTTAAGTTCCATTGCATTTTGTTAACTGCTTTCTTTATTATTCATGACCACAAAAAGAATCACTGAGGAAAAGAAAAGGTGAAAAGAAAGAGAATGATATCTAAACTTAACTTAAAATTGTGGCGAGCAACAGGAAAATTGTTATGCTGCGGGTATGCTGCGCCAAATCATGTTTTTAAGGCGTTGGCATGCTGTCTCGTAATCCAAGTTTTCTCCAGAGTTCAATTATAACTTAAAAATATTCCTGTCATGCTGTTTTCTCACCTCAAGATTTAATTTATTGGAGAAATTTGTGTATAGTTTTTGGGTGTGTCCCATGAGTTCATTACATAGGTTTTGACCGAAGTACCATTGCAACAATTTTTCTTAACATCCTCCTGTTTCCAACATGTTCATTTTCATAACCACTTTTGTTTCATGTTCATTTTCATAACTACTTTATTCTCCTAAGTAGAATCTAGCATAATTCTCAACATTAGCTTACATTTGTTTCATGTTCATTTTCATAACCACTTTTTGGAATTGATTGGAGTGATAATGTAATTGTTAGTTTTACAATAAATCTTGTAGATCACGCAAGTTGGTCAAGTTACATGTTAATGATTTAAGTTATGGATTTCAGCTATTTTGACAATTGTTCTTGCATTGGCAATGTGGAAAGGTGTTAACTGTTAATTCTTTCTTTTTCTCTTCTCTCAATTGGTCCAGGTTGTGGACGCGTAAAGAGAAGGAGATTGCAATTGTTAGTCACAGTGAATTCTTGTTTCATACCTTGAGTGCTTTTGGAAATGATTGCCACCCGTCTATCAAGAGCGAAATATGCACTCCGTAAGTGTTATGGTGGTTGTTTTATCCCAACTTTTAAGTCAAGAGCATGCACATTACATTCTGCAGCACAGGGTAGTGTTTATTCTTTAAACTAGGGAGAACCAGTCCCTTTCTTTTTCTCTTTTTAATTTCGGAACTGCTAAGCTTAAGAGTGGAATTCTGTTTATGCAGCTTTGCTAATTGTGAGCTTCGTTCAGTGGTGTTTGTTGATAGGAGGTGAGTTTCTTGTTCGCTAAATTTAGACGCACGTGCGCACAGAGTCACACGCACACGCATTCTAGCTTATGCAGAAGTTTAATATTTTGTCTTCTATGTGCAGTTTAATGGGGTCTGATTCTTCAATAACTAATTATCCTGGAAAGATCCCTCGTGGGCCTGATCTTCCTAGTGACGTTGCTGATGAGAAGAAGTCAGAGAAGGGCGCTTCCGTGTAATTATATGCACGCCACGATGATGGATGGACAGTCTTACATAAATAATACCAGATATCCTATTGGCAATAAACTAATGTAGCTTGAAGTTTTGTGATCAACCGCTTTAATGGAGTGCCCTTATTATTGAGGTGCGACCTATTTAAGGTCCCACATCGCCCAGGAAGTGATCCTTATATGTATATTCTTATCTCTATCTAGCGCGAGGCCTTTTGGGAGCTCACTGGCTTCGGGTTTCATGGAAACTCCGAAGTTAAGCAAGTAGTCTGCGAGAGCACTCCCATGATGGGTGATCCATTGGGAAGTTCTCGTGTGAGTTCCCAAAAACAAAACCGTGAGGGTGTGGTCGGGATCCAAAGCGGACAATATCATGCTACGATGGTGGAGCGGGCCCAGGATGTGGTGGATCTCGGGTCGGGATGTGACAATTTGGTATCAAAGCCTAACCCTGGCTGTGATGTGCCTACAATGGTGGAGCGGACCCGAGATGTGATGGACCCCGAGCCGGGATGTTACAACCTACCCCTCCTAGTCTTCATCTTTCTCATACCAAGTATGTTGATCTACTAAAGCGCACCAATATGCTTGTAAACTTTGCACTACTCCTATTGCTTCGCGAGCGGAGCTTTCTAATCATGATGGTACTCTCCTCTTTGATTTCGACACCTATTTTGGTTCCTTACAGTATCTTACCTTAACTTGTCCGGACATTGCATTTGATGCTAATCACATCGCTTAGTTTATGTCTCGGCCAACCAATACACATCTTATCAAGGCCAAACGCATTTTGCGTTGTGTTAAGGGCACTGTTGATCAAGATATTGTATTTTTCGCTGGTTTACTACACCACCCTTGCTTCGTGGGTATTCTGATGCTGACTGGTTGGGTGTCCTTATACTCGACCCTCCACCTCTGGGTATCTTATTTTTCATGGTCCTAATCTCATCTCATGGAATTCTACAAAGCACCTTACTGTGTCGAATTTGACAACCATGCCCTAGCTGATGCTTGTACAGAATCTATTTAGCTTTCTTATTTACTTCTTGAGCTACAATTTCCAGCTTCTCAATCCATAGTTTTCTTTTGTGATAACTTGAGTACTGCTTATATGGCTGCCAATCCTGTTTTCCATGCCCTCACTAAGCATAGCGAGCTTGATTATCATTTTGTACAAGAGCGTGTTAAGATACAGTCTGTTCCATCTGTTGATCAACCTGCGCATCTCCTCACGAAGGGTCTTTCGAAGCCTCGCTTTCTTTTACTTGGGTCCAAACTTGTCTTTCTGAGGGATGTTAGTGCAGGATAATCCGGTCATGATTTATTGACCAAGGTTTAGTAATCCTAATGGCCTTTGTATTTCTTTAGCTCCAAGTCATAGACCTGTATATCTATGTACCTTGCGGAATCAATATAATTACACTTCCCATATTTACAATACCATTTCAAACAGTTTGTCTTCTCTCCCTCTTCTTTTCTCTTATTTCCTCTTATATTCTCAGGATTCAATGCGGAAAAAAAAAAAAAAAAAAAAAAAAAAAACCAACCATTTTGTTTTGAGTTTTCCTCTTCTTCCCTCTTCCCACGCCAGACACTGAAAACTAATAGCTAAAAACAAAATGGTTATTATACGGAATTCTAAGCATGTACCATAATTTAAATTACGTCGAACTTTGATCAACCTGGAAATTAGAAACATCGTCCGAATGCTAGCCTCTGTCCTTGGTTTGTTAATGTACGCATGAATTCATATTATACGTGGAATGAGAGATTAAAGCAAAAGGAATTCCAAGAATTTATCATATTAATGTTCAATAATACGTAATCATCAGTATCAAAAATGCTCATCACATCTAATGCAACTGCATATTTTTACCGTAAAAGTAATAGGAAATTCAATGGAAGAAGTAAATTGATTTTATAGGACCACAAAAAATTAGTGTGAACAAGTGAGGCTTGCTTTAACTATGATCTCCTTACGAATATGAGAATGTATCCTATAATGATAGAGAGAAGAAGGAATATACCAGCAGCCATGATGTTGACATTAGAGAACTCTGTAGATTTTCGGCTACTTTCTCCCCTTAATTTTTCGATTCCACTCTTCTCCAAACAGGAGTTAGATGCCGAGGGAAGCGGCACCACCACATCCCAGAAAGATTTGGTCACTGCAGATGGGGCGTCTATTTCTGGTTCCAAGATTGTTGAGTCATCTGCTGGAGCTTCCATAGACAACAACTCGACACATCGATCTTTCAGAACCTAAGCAACCATGGAAAGCAAAAGGTCAGAACTGCTTAGACATTGAACTAAAGAGAGTAACTGAAAAACTCGCGCTTGATTGAGTCCGAATAGAGTTCTTCAGAACCAAAGACGAAAGGGAGCATCATCTTTATTCCAGTTTCCTTAATATATCTTTAGTTTATAAGTACAAACCTCAAATGTCTCGGATGGCTGTAGGTAGTCACACACAAATGTACCCGCTAACCAAGGAACAAAGACTCTTCGGGGAAGTGAAAGATTGCCTGATTGTCTGTTTTAGAATGCATAACAAATGTGGTCAGTACAGTGACCTACGTTCAGCAATGTGAGCCGCAGATAACAGGACTATGGAAAATCAAAGTGGCATATAATCAGGCATAATTCAAATTCGTAGTGAAAATCTCGGTTTATTAAAACATAACAGCCCTAACAGACCTGAATGATTGAAGAACAATTTGAGAAACAGGTGTTTCACTGGATATCCCATCTCTTGGTTCCTGAGTATCAGCACCATCTCTTGCTTGCTGGCCACTGGTTTCAGTTGGACCCGCCTCACCATCTGCCTCATCACAGATGATATCTAGTCTACTCTGCAGACTCGTGATTATGTCATCCTACAAACATACAAGCAGTCCATGATTTTACAGGATATGAGCACTAAGAGGAATTAAAACTAGCAAAAACTATATCGTGGAAATATCAAAACAAGGCCTTTGTGCGATAATTGCAAGCAACACCACATTTAACACAAGACACCGCAAAAGTTTTCTTTCTACCACATCAGAAAACACTTGGGCCTCGTTTGATAGAGAGGATTGGCTTGATAGGACTACTCACTATATTAAAGGTATTTTAACGGAAGAAATGGATGACAAATTCCTTATTTTGTCCAAGTTGAAGGTTACTCATGAAGAATAGTTGTCCCTGTTAATCGTATCATTTTTGTGGGGATTAGTAGGGACAAATATTCTTCATGAGTAACCTTCAACTTGGACAACATAAGGAATTTGTCATTCATTTCTTCCTTTAAAATGCCTTCAATTATAGTGAATAGTCCTACCTAAACCAATCCTCATTATCAAACGAGGCCTCAAACTTTAAAAATTTTACATCATATCATGGAAAACAAAAAATTCCTTAAATACTTAGACCCTTGGATTTCCACAATATGCACAAGATTCTGCCAATTGATTCAAATGACGTATGTAGATAAGGATTCAAATCTAGTAGAATGAAGCTTCTCAACGTCTTTACTGCAATTCTGAAACCAAAATGCAATAGATATTTTGCTACCCGACTCTGCTTAGGAAATCCTAGAAACATGGACTTTGAAAAATGAAACTGGACACCTTCCACAGAGACAATGGACCCCAACTCCTTATTTACCAGACCTAGATTAAATTTCAAAATTAAAATTAAAACTTTACATTTCAAATGTTGTGTGTTAGCAGACTAAAACCGATATTAATTTTCAGTGTAACATCAGGAATGGCTAAATAACAGTGACTATCTCTTGTATACCTTAATATCAGCAACAGCTTGTGAAATTGGTTCTTTGGGATTTAAAAATGCAAAGGAACACACAGAACCGCTAAAATCAACAACACCAACAGTATCTTTCTGGCTGCAAGCTTTACACAATATAGATGCATATTAGGATAGAAACTCGAAAGGGAAGAAGCAATTCATGGAAAAAAAAAAAAGAACTGAACAGAAAAATTAATAATGCATAAACAAACCTTCAGTATCTTTCATAAATGGTAGAAGCAACTCGACTTCATGCAGACCATCCAATGTGCATAGATCATCGTTAACAACCTAAAGTTGTATGCAAAACAGAGAAATCTGGATGAGAACTTGAGGCTAAAAGACTTAACAAGGGGATAGCACAATTCAAACACTCTGCTTTAAGCTGTAAATATGATTAATGGTTTAGTTTGCATCACTTAAAAAATGTAAAATTAACCACAAGGTTCAATCAAAATTGAATTTTTTCAGTAAAGGAAATTCGAGAGGGACTTCATTACACATGTGATGTTGGTGTTGAAATTGGTTAGTATCGCATGCAAAAATGAAAAGGCAGAAACTCAGGGAAAACCAAGCAAGCTTAACTCAAGGACGATAATAATTTACTCAAAGGAAAGGTCATATTTTGTTTAAAAGATGTTGAATCTATGACTTAAAGTGCACCACCTTAAGACACAGATCAAGGTTTTATTTATTATTTTTTTCTGCTGACTGCCTTTTGATGAATTTTTATTTTATTTTTACCACAGCTAGAATATGGTTAAATTCCTCATATTTAGATCTGTAATCATAGAGGTAGCAATAAAATTAAACGAAAAAAGTTACTTCACAAACAAGAACGTGGGTTTCTAATATCACCTATAAAGGTTTAAATGATAACGAAAACTTTTTAAGAGTCCGGATGATTGCTTTAAATATAGTCCCTACTCCATAGAGTAGCAAGAGAACACTAGTACACCTTGAATTTGTCTTGGAGCCAAATTAGGTTCACCTGAATAGAAAAAAAAATATATAGGCTCGAACCTAGTGGTAACCAAGATTCTGTCAGCCTACTAGAGATATATTGAACCTCTGTGGCAGCTGCATATATGTCAAAGCCAGGTCCAATAAAGCACACAGGAACTTTTTATCAACAAAATGATGAATGTTTATTCATGACTTTGTGGATAAATTTGTGCTTATGAGTAAGTCTATTTGCTAATAGATGAAAATTGTCGTTAAAATCTGGCTTAAACCTAATTTTGAGAAGCACAAAACAAAATTCTAATATGACAAGCTGTATCAACTTTCTCACCTACAACGACTTGAAATAAACAAAACATACCTTAAAAGTCTTGAGATATTATAGGTAACTTTCTACAGCACTCTCCTACAGGCATCACTACCCAGATTTAGTATACTTCTATCAACTTGCAACGAAAACATCAAAGTTGCAAAGAAGAAGTTGCGCATGCAATGCAGACTGAGAAAACTTTTACTTTGGACTTTAAGACATACATGGTATACTATTACTTCACAGATATCATCAACATACGAATCAATAGAACCAACCCATGCTCATCCAGAGACTTAACAAAGACTCCATCCCGTGCACTAGCTTACACACAAGAATCCAGCACATTAACAGGCATTCGAGGTACCACACTTTTGCATGTTAACAAAATGTGCACAGTAATTTTCACTTTCAGAGGAACAAGTCAATGAGCTACTTACCAAATTTCCATCAAACATGGCTTTTGCACTTCTTAAATCTTTCGCATGAACTGAAATACCATGACGAAGGGCTTCACTAAAAGTTTGGAGATTTGATGAATTCTTGTGAAATATGGGCAATCTGGGAAACAATAACTACCATGAGAAAACCTAAACACAACTATAGCACTAGTGTTGTAACAAAGCATCAATAACCAAAAATACTATTATTAAATTGGATAGACCCCCAGTACTCTGAGAATGCAATCTATCAAGTGGGAGAGGTAGAAGCTCAGTACAAGTCACATTCAATATAGGATTAGGCGTAATCGGACCTGCTTTTTACATATCTCTCATTATTTGATGCTAGAAGGTCAAGGAAGTGGGTGACCTAATGACAGGAGAGCCGGCGACCAAAGCCCCAGTGAATGGCGGAGCAAAATGAAGGTTGCATTAATGTAAAGATCTCTCGGGAAACCACTAAAAAAAGATTGAACATGTGGGAGGATCGTAGATTAGATCTGTGCCAAGGTTTTAAGACAAAAAGAAAATAGAATCATGATCTGAATGTCGTCTGTTGACCAGTTTTTTGGAAATTCTTTATTATGTGGATTCAGTCCAATCCATTTGAATGTCGTCTGTTAACCAGTTTTTTGGAAGGTCTTTATATGTGGATTCACTCCAATCCAGGATCACTGCCAAAGTGTTTAAAAGAAGGGTTATACTGACATAGGTCTGCTTCTGGCCGGTTTAGCAATCTAAAGTCTTGAAAGCTCCGATGCATACTCGAGCGCCGCAAAAGGCAAAGGGTTTAGATTTAAGGTTCAACGTCAGTGTTGGCTTTGGATATGACTTAATAGTGGATAAGAAATCAACTGCGATGATAAATAAGGTATGCCACTAAGATTTAAGTTTCAAAATGGCCTCCAGTAGCATCTTGGTTAGATATTGATAGTTTAATATACTTGACAGTTGGATAATCAGCTCACCGTTTGCTTTTGCTTGAACTGAGCTCATTGTTTACTTTATGTTTGAAGGAATCTGTATCCTTTCATGTTCTTTCGATCAACAAAATTGGGTGTTTTCAAAATCAAAATAAATGGCATCAGGTGTTTTAAAATTTTAATCCATGATGAAAAAGGGACTTCAAAATTATCCTCAAATGGGCTACTGAAAGGAAAAGTAGATTAAAAAAGGGTCCTAAATTTTAGGTGTGTGTGAAAATCACAGGAAAATTTTATTTTTAAGTTTTAAGAAAATATAAATATAGCACAAGAGCACTCTGGTAGGCAGGACTTTCAACTACCTGAACTATTGAGAGGAAAAACAAATTCCTACATTTTCAGAAGCCATAAATAAACGAAATCCTCCACTTTCAGTTACATAAAGATCATTAAATAAGAAAAGCTGACGGTACCTGATATCAAAGTTGTACATGCACCTAAAATGTTGAAGGGAATTTAGGACCCTTCCCATTTTGAAGTCACAAGGTCTTAGGCTGCTTGACGTAATATTTGAAGCTACTGCACAATTTCGACATGCCCACCTACAGAAATAACCTCTTTAGTCAGCCTGAAATAAAATTTGACAATTTAAGAGGGAATAATTGGGACAATTCAGGTTGGGAAGATACCTCCTTGGACTATAACAAATGTGAATAAGCAGTCTCTCATCCCAATCAATCTCTGAGAGGGGCGCTGCTTTGGCAACTCCCATTACAGTCTGCAAGGGCCTTTTCCATTAATAAATAAAAAAATCATTGTTTTCCACAGATTTGCTTATGTTAGCTACAAGTTTAAAATGAATATAGGCAGTCCTGTATTGATCATAGCTGACCCATTATAACTAGCCAAGATTTCTTTACTACTTGATTTATGGTAACTTTAAAATTTCCACATGTTGTATAAGACCTAATTTCATGAATTCCAGCTTTACTTGATATGCCTAACAGATCACATCAACATCCAACAGCCAAAAGCTGACTATGGAAACCAAGCCTTCACCAATCAATCTCACATTTATCCTTCCGACATATCTCACCGTGACTAAGCAGGGATTTATGCACAGTTAAACCCACCATCCTTTTGATGCGGAACCAAAGTGGAGTCTGGCCTAAATCAAAGGGTGTTTTAATCTTTTAATCTCTAGGCATTTAGTATTTTAATATTTAGGGTTTTAGTCTTTTGATTTCCTAAAGAGTCAAAACCAGATATCTTTTATTTTTGTTTTAATTTCAGTTTTTTGTATTTTCTCTTCCGCTACACTACCTAAATTCGCTGCCCAACCGTATCCTACATCACCTTCTAGACACAACCAAGCTCAGAGAGCACATTCCACAAAGTGATGGTTGATCAACATTTTAGCAACCAGAATCAAGCTCTACAAAGAAACATCCATATATCAAACAAGACCAATCCAATTCGGGATAAAATAATACCTGGCAAAGCGTGATGTTCGAATTCTTAAAAGCGCTATCACTAGCCCAAATGTATATGCCAACCACTTTCATGCCACCCATTAACATTCTAGACACCTGAAACATCAAACAAATTGCGCCATGACAACCCTTAATACAAATACACAAGCACAATGAGCAAAACCCAGAAACCAGATCAAATATTGTAAATTACACACACACACACACACACACACAAATAGGAATATAAATATGCAAGCATAGATAAATAAAGGAACATTTTTTTTTTATATGTTATTGCTTACCTGACGGGCATGTTCAGCGACCCAGTCCTTGTCAATGGAGAGAGAGAAGGAATCGGAGGGCTGAGATTTGGGTTTAGGCCCCTTTCTCTTGTCGTCCTTGGCAGGCTCGAGGACGGAGCAAGGAGCCGCTCCGGCGTCGTTCGGCGGCGTTGGGATCAAATCGAAGACAAAGCCTCGGTCTAGAGAGTTGCTGAGCTTGCCTATGAGGAGCCCCACCTGAATTTTCATAACCAACAAATCAAAAACCGTAAAACTCAGAAGCAACAATCTTTACAGAGAGAGAGAGAGAGAGAGAACCTGCACGGGGGTGGAGGATTTCTCGAGGCGATCCTCGGCTAGTTTGAGCTGGGTTTCCTCGCCGACGACGGCTTTCACCATTGTTGCACGGACGCTGTGAATTTGTGGCTGGATCAATGAGCTTCTTCGCAGTCGGTACAGGAGTCGTTTGTTTTGAGTTAATGGCCGGGCCGGGCTTGCGAGTCGCGCAAATTAGAGCATAATCACGGGTCGGCCCATTAAATCAAAATCAGGTGGTGACATAAGATTTTTCAAAAGTTGAACTATATAGCATCAAGATCATTTTTAGTGTCAACCAAGCAAAGTTGAATTAACTTACAAAATTATAATTTATATGCCAACAAAAAAGCTTCAACCGAAAGAAGAGTAAAGGCAACGCTATAACTCATTTTTACAAATGAAAAACACCACCAAATTTCAAGGATTGGTATTTAAAAATTTATACGTAGCTTAGATAATATGAAGTGTAGTACGTAATATGTGGATAAGCGAAGATGAACCATAAATCATGTTAAGTATGGGCTGACATGGGAGGCAAGGTACAACCAGCCCCAACAAACCAAAGATCAAGTTGAGATCACGTTGCGTGCATATGAGTTTTTACTTCGTTTTAACCAACCCAATTGAATTTAAAATAGAATTTGCCATGGCCAGTTAAGTCGATCCAACCTAAACTGCAACCCTAAGCGAACAAGACATGCTCAAGCCTAAAAACTATTATGGGTGTGTGTATTTATCAAAAAGGTTTTTTTCGGAGCTTCTACCTATACCCAAATTCTATTTCTTCCGACTAAGCAAACTTTTGATGCTCAACAAAAGTTTAATGTTTTAAAATTTTACACTTTTTATCTAACCCCTCCTCTAAAACTACTCATAACATATCGCAACCCAAACTAAGGGGTGAAGTGTTTTTAGATTTAGATGAACTTTTGTTGAGTTTTTTAGTGATAGACTTTCACAGATTTGATAGATTTTTACTGACTAGTAAAAGCTCTATAAAATTTCATACTTTTAATGATATACTTTTGTGAAAAAGAAAGAGTAAAATGATAGACTTTTGCAATATTTTTAAAGAGTCGCTTCTGTTGTATTAAATTGATTAGGAATGTGGTTTTGCATTGGGATCAAATCAAAGATGGCAATTGAAATGAACAAAGTTTTGGTGATTGGAATTGGGGTTTTGGAGTTTACTACTCCATTGTGAAGAAGGTGATGCGGTAGAATATATGGTGGGGGTGAGAAGGGATGGAGCCCTCGTGCTGACTTATCTCATTGGACTCAGGGCAAGAAGTTCAGGGCTGGAGATGTTCTGGGTAACAAGACTTGTTTTCAATTTGTGTTCATGCATCCTCAAGTTTATTAGTTGCTTTTACTCAATTTCTTATGTTTGTTGTTTTTGGAACAGTTTTCAAATATACTGATCCTAATCTCTACGTAGTTGTTATATCGAACGAAGACAGCTTTTGATGCTCAAAAAAAATCTCTACGTAGTTTTCAAGCTAAAATCTCTACGTAGTTTTCAAATATTCCGATCCTAATCTCTACATAGTTGCTAAATCAAACGAAGACAACTTTTGATGCTCAAAAAAAATCTCTACGTAGTTTTCAAGCTAAAATCTCTACGTAGTTTTCAAATATTCCGATCCTAATCTCTATGTAGTTGATAAAAAAGTTTTTTTTTTAGCTTGTATCTATACCCAAATTTTATTCCTTCCTACTGAACAATCTTTTGATGCTCAAGAAAAGTTAGTGCTTTAATATTTCTCTTTTTATCTAACCACTCTTCTAGAACTACTCATCACATATCAAATTAAGTTTTTACCTTCTATTATTCCTTGCACAAGAAATCCCAACCAAACTAGGGGCGTAGTGTATTGAGATTTATATTGACTTTTGTTTGAGTTTTATATGGACTTTTGTTTTCAATTTCTAAAGTGATTGACTTTTACGAATATGATTTTTTACATAAGGGAGACTTTGGTTCCATTACTTGGTTGATCAAAATCTAAGATTGAATCATATTATTTTGAATACTTTACTTGAGGAACAAAATATTATATTTCAGTATTAGTTAAGAAAATTAATAATTCCTCTCTAAAAGCATGCAAAGATTAATACCAAAGGGGCTTTTAATTTTTCGCTCAATTTTAAGTTGTGTGAAATCTGATTAGATTTTTTTAGGAAAAATTGCACATAGAGTATGCTTTTAATACTTAATTTTATATTGAGATAACACTTTTTAACATTTCAAGGAGAAACAAAAAACAATAAATGTGAAAGATAACATCATTTGGTTTTTTTTCTCTGGAGTTTAACTTACCAAAATACTTTTTATTTTTGGTATCTTTTTACACTTCTCTCTCCAACATTGAAGTTGTTCATGCCACCTAGGCGCCTTGTTTCTCGAGGTTCAAACTTCAAAGAGATGATGCAGTATGTAGAGGTTGGGCATCTACACCTTTTTGCCGCAAGAGAGAGCTTCCCATCATTAGGTGAGGTTGACTAGTACGAAAGCTAAAACAATTATATTTACACTTAGGAATGAGACTTTAGAAAACCCAATTCAAATTTATTTGTTTCAGGTACATCAAATATGCCCTCTAGCTTTTTAAAAGGATAAGGAAAATTGATCCAATTGAACAAAAGACCAAATAACAAAACAAGCATCAATCTTATATCCTTATACATTTGGACATAGCTCAATCAACTTTCAAAGGATAGAACACATGATCGAGCCTGCACAAGAGAAATTAAATTAATACACAATGACTAATTTAATTTGAAGGAGGATGTTACTAAACTTTGAAATTAATTTGATTGATAAAAAAAGTAAATTCTTTGGAACTTACAAGTACAGAGTAAGGATCAATCTAACCCAACTCAACACAAATTAAGCTTCCCCATTTACTAATTCTTCTAAAACTATACAAGCTGATTCTATTAAAAAAATATATATATATATATATATATAACTGATTCAATTTCGTGCTCTATGATGCTCTTGATTCTTCCGTAACCTTCACCTCCCTTGCATGAGTAAGAAAGTTGCATATTTTTTTTTAAAGTATTAAAGTCAATTAAGTTACATATTTTTTTTTAAAGTAAAAAAGTATACAGAACTGATTTTACATGTATTGGAAATTGATTCTACAGAAATGGTCGAAGACAGTTTGAACTGGTTTTGCAACAATGGTCAAAGACGGGTTAAATTGATTATGCAAATATGATCGAAGATGGGTTGAACTGATTTTGCAAAAATGGTCGAGGACAGGTTGAACTGATTCTACAAAAATGGTCGAAGATGGGTTGAACTGATTTTGCAAATAATCAATGATGGGTTGAACTAATTTTGCAAAAATGGTTAAAGACAGATTGAACTGATTCTGCAAAAATGGTCGAGGATGGGTTGAACTGATTCTGCAAAAATGGTTCAATACTAATTGAACTGATTATAGTAATAAATGAACTAAACTTATACTGCATATAGTTTCAAAACTTGTTCTGCATCAATAGTCAAGGATTGGTTAAGTTTATGGCACATATTAATTTTGTTGGAGTTGTGAAGGCTAAGTTCTATTAAAAGCCTAAAATCTTAGGGGTATGGTTAGCATTTTAAAATATTCTTTTCATGTTTTTGGGCAAGGCTTTAATTGTTTTTATACTTTTGTCTCTCCTTGACATGTTTAAAAACTAGTGGAGTTCCTTGAAATATAGTAAAAATTGTTCTATATATAAAGCTTCCATTTTTTGTGACAACCTATCCCTAGTTCTATGATTTTATAAATTTGAAAAGTGTGAATTGACAAAAATGCTCTAGAGACAAGGATTTTGACTTTTGCTGACTATTGTTGAGAGAGAGACATATGACTCATTCTTCTACCGTATTCTCAAAGTACTATTCTCAAAGTACTCGACGGTACGAATACGTAGACGCAAGCAGAATCTAATTTGGAGTTAGGATGACGAATTTACGGAATTACGAAGTCAAATGACATTTTTGTCATTTCATAATCCTAAATAATTGGCCTAAGTTATTTTATTACTTTTCCTTTCAGATTTTTATGAGTGGGACCCACGTCCACCATTCACCCTCTTCCACATGTTCCTTTTCTCCCTCGGAAGACTCTCTCGAACACTCTCTCGTTACCATCTTTCTCTCGGCTGTCTTTTCCGCCCATTTCTTTTTGTCATTTTCATTTTCTCCCCCCCTCCGAGCATCCACCACCACAACTACCATCACCCTCGCCAGCTCCAACGACGGCGACGTGTTCTTCACTCCTCCTCATGTCGGCTTCAACTTCCTCTATGTACTCACAGCGCATAGAACTGAGCTGAGACCATCCATCAACTTCTCCAACAAGTTTGGCCTCGACAATGGCAGGGTGAGCTTCAAGTGAATAGGGTTGTTTTAATTGCTAGTAATATTTTATGACTGAATTAGGTTGTTTTCAAGTAAAAAACCGAGAGTTTTAAGCCTACTTGGGTTTGTTCTTTGTTTTCCCAGATTCCAGCGAGAGATCCGGCGGCTTCGAGCTGTTTTTCGACTCGTTCTGGCCACATCAGGACCCTATGTTGGTATATTTCTCTTCCTCTCCTTTAGAGCTTCAAATTGGTATATTAGATTGCTGGTTTTAGTTGAGTTTTGAGCTCGAACAGAGCTCGGGAAGTTTCCCGGCCAAAGACCAGTGTCCTTCTTCGCTCAGTCTGGCAAGTCAACCCGATCCGGTTCAAAAAAAAAAAAGGGGGGGGCCTAAGCCGAAACCCAGCCCAAACCTTTGCGCCACTAATTCGGCTTAGCCCAATTCCAAATTGGGCCTGAAATATTTAACAATATTCTTGGAATATTCTAGGGAATATTTCCTGTGTTGACTTTTTCGGAATTTTCTCGGAAACTCTCCTAGGCTAATTTCGACGTCTCGAGTCCGTTTTGGACATCCATTTAGTGAACTTATAAAGTTTTAACGTAGTTGACCACCAGAGCGTCTCAATTGACTGTTGACTTTTTATAAAATTTGTTAGGGACCCTCCTTAGCGAATTTCGGCGCTCTGGTTCCGAATCCGCACTCTATTTTCTCAATTTTAATTGTCTTAGTAGAGTTTTACTAATGGGTCCTAATATTATGCTTAGGTGCGATTATTATCTGTGACTCTAGCTTTCTTAGTTCGAACGGCTACGACCTCACAAATATCTGTGAGTGGGTATTTTCTTTAATATAGTATATATATTTGACTGTTAGTTTCCAATTATACATTTGAAAAAGAATTTTCTACGTATGCCTAGATTAGACTAACGTTTATAAAAATTAGTGAAATAACGGAAAATAACGAAATTATCATAAATTCTACAGGATGCACAGGTATGCGTACTTTTTAGGGTTTTGATTATGACCCTGATTAATATTTCATTTATTACTAGTACGACGATGTGAATTATCAAATCACTATGGCATGACTATATTTATGTTATCTGCTCATCGTTTGCTACATTGGTGTTGGTACTCGCCCAGGTCAGGGCCAATCTTTCACGTGTATGTGCACATCGCACCGTATGCTCACTTTGGATCCATTGCAGGTGTCAGTCATGTCCTAGATTGCTATAGGCAATTAGGACTCGTATGTGCTGCGCATAACACCAGTTTTTATGTGATTGTAGTACTAGAGCATATATCATTGTTACACCCAGTCATATTCATGTCAGAATACCTCTGTATAAACTCGTATATCAGCATGTGTCGATGAGCACTCGATATGATATGTTTGCTTATGCGAGATTATACGATTACTGACGTCATGCACTTATTTATGAATTATTATGCCATATTGAATTCTTGAGATTTTGCAAGCTATGGTAAGTATTTTCTTACTATACGTAGTATGTATATTTTGGAAACTATACTTGTTTTAGGCCGATGAGTTATAATGTTTTTAGAAAGGTTTTATTAAAACTTTATTTTCAGGCTCACTCACCCTTGTTTTTTGCCCCTCCAGGTTCTAGTGGCTAAGATTTTGTGTCGACGAGGATTCTTGGCAAATCTTGGTATTGGAGATTACCTTCGATGGTATAATTCTCATCTTACTCAAGTTCATTACTTATGCTCTGACATCACGTGTGAAATGAGTTCATTCCCTCTCCCTAGTACACTCTTATATTTAGGTATCTTTAGGTTTAAATTTATTTACATTTTCCACATTACTACGCTTTATAGCTTCGTCACTTTCGGGTATCGGCCAACACAGCTCGGTTCGAAGTCCAAGTGGACATTCTGGGTCAAGGTGTGTTATTTTTTTATAGTATAAAATAAAATATATATATTTATTTTTAAATATGGTACGTTTTAAATTAAAAAGGGTATGCTTTAAATTAAAAAAAGGGTAAATTTTTATTACAAAATATACGTATTTAATTGATAAAATAAGTGAACAGATTTTACATTAAAAAAATGATATATTTTACATAAAAAGGTGATTCATTATTTTATGAAAAATGGGTACAATATAGGTATATGAATGGGACCAATGGATACATTATAAATTATTGGTACAAAAAAAATTATGTATGAGTACAAATAAAAGTTTAAAATATGGGCACAAAAGAAATTAAATATGTGGGTACAAGTTAAAATTAAAAACGAAATTGGTACAGATTAAAAAATTGTTACAAATTAAAATGGGTACAATTAAAAACAAAAATATATGTACACAATTTAGCCATAAATACAAATATATCAAATGTTCTAACAATAAATGGATATACATGAAATGTAAAATATAAAATATACTGACATATAAATCTTTTATTATTGGAATAATTGTGTGGATAAAAGTCAAAGCACCTTAATAAAAAATGGAAAATGAATAAGGTTTCAATCAATAAAATAGAAAACTGAGGGATGAAAACCTAATTTTTTCCTACTATAAACTCTATAAAATACCATAAACTTTAATGATAAACTTTTGTGGAAAACAAAAGAGTTTTTTTTGTTTTTGTTTTTTTTTTTTGAGCAAACGATATTATCTACACTAAAGGATGGGTGAGTGGACTGAGCTTCATAATGGTCTAACAATAATTTGGTTCAAATTTGCTTTTGGCAATAATCAAACATAAGACCTCTCACTTACAAGTGAATATGAATATTACTATACTGTAGTACTAAGTGGCATGGAAAAAAAAAGAGTTGAACTTATAATGATATACTTTTATGGAAAAGAAACGAGTTAAATGATAGCCTTTTTGTAGAATTCTAGAGAGTTCAATGCTAGAATGTTTTTGTTTCCTCCACACAGTTTTTTGTGCTCACGAATTTTAGCAGTGTGACTTTTTCCTCAAGTCACCTATGAATCTTGAAATTAAAAGAATGCCCCGATGATAGAGCACACGTGGTACACACTACGTTCAACACAAATTCTCCATTTTAGGAATTTGAACCATATTATTACTAGCCCATTGTGAGGCTTAGCCCACTCTCCCATCACTTAGCGTAGATAATATCGTTTGTTAAGAAAAAAAAAAAACCTCATTTTGGGCGGTTAATTGTCAAAAGAAATTGATTTCGATAATCCCTTCTCTTCTTGAGCTTTGTTAATATTGGAAACTTTTAGGCCCACAAAATGGTGCAAGGCTGGTAAGAAGCCATGAAAAGCCCAAGGTAAAGTCAAAGTCCAAGGTCTAAGAGATTTAGAAGATAATACTTTCATGCACTAAAAAGCGACCATTGACTAGCTCAGCCCAACTAGATTATGTAAAGTGCTTTCCAACCGGCAGAGGAAAGTGGCAAACCTAATAACTTTATAGCGCAATGCTTCAGGAGCAAGTCTACTCAGACGTCAATCAAGCCCGTGGGCAACTCCTAATCAGAATCAGAGGCCTATGATGGGACACAAAAGTGGTTGGGTGTTGCTCAGAAAGGCAGGGTTGGATAACTAAGACCAAGCAAGCTGCTCGACCGCATCACTCTGAAAATGGGTGCCAACTCGACTGAGCATCTGTCATTTCACTGCTGAATATCCCTTCAATAGGTGAAAATGTGTCAATATGCTAGTCTACATAGGTGGCACATTAAATACCAAATTGGGAAAACCCAAGGCTTGGAGGTCCACTAAGAGCCTATATAAAGGGGGTAAGAAGCTCTTGCAAAGGGGTCGAATGACTGAGAAAAGAGAGAGCCCATGTAATTTGCTGAGCGCTATTTGTAGTCTTGAAATCCATATAATTCGAGCAACATAATGTTTATTTGATATGGATAATTAGATAAGATGATCCAAATACAATCCGAATAATTCAATCATAAATGAATTTGAATACGAATTAAGACTAATTTGTTTCGAACTCAATATATTTTTTTTTAACAAACGATATTATTTAGGCTTACAAATGAGAAAATCTTAAGTTCGCTTATCCTCAAATACGAATTCAAACTCAATTATGTTTACAAGTTTATTTGTACACACCTCCAAAATGGATCTTGCAATTTTTACAAATTAAAAAAATATCAGTGTCTTAATCAAGAATTGTATTGTGAAAATTAAAATACAAATTCTCACCTCTACTACGTAAACCAACCAAATCAAAGCCCGAAAAGAAAATTCTTTCCATTTTTTCTCATCACCGCCCACCGAATCCAAAAACCCTGACCCTTTCCATTTCCAATGGCTCCCAAATCCCCAACCCTAATTTGATTTCCTCGCTCCTCCGTGTTCTCCCTCCTTTCTCACTTTCCGATGGAGAACTACTCCAACCACTCCTACCCGGACTCCCGCGACTCCTCCCCTCGCTCCCGCGAAATCGACTGCGACACCCCCTCATGGGACGACCAACCCCCCTCCGCCACCTCCACCTACAAAGTCAAGTTCATGTGCAGCTACGGCGGCAAAATCCAGCCCCGCCCCCACGACCACCAGCTCACCTACGTCGGCGGTGACACCAAAATCCTCACAGTCGATCGCAATATCAAGCTCTCCGCTTTCATCTCCAAGCTCTCCTCCCTCTGCGACACCTCTAACGATGCCGTTTGTTTCAAGTACCAGCTCCCCGGCGAAGATCTCGACGCTCTCATCTCCGTCACCAACGACGAGGACCTCGACCACATGATGGTCGAGTACGACCGGCTGTACCGCGCTTCAGCTAAGCCCGCCAGGCTCCGACTCTTTCTCTTCCCTCTTGACAGCAACACTTCCGCTAGCTTCGGCTCCAGCGAGACCAAGTCCGAGCGCCAGTGGTTCGTCGACGCTTTGAATTCGGTTCAGATCGGGTCTCCCGATGGATCCTCTCCGACGGCTCCGGTCACGGCCTCGCCGACAAACCCCGATTTCCTGTTCGGATTCGATAAGGGATACACGGCTGTGCCGGTTGGGAAATTTCCCGACTCGGTCACTCCGCCGACGGTTCCCGATTTGCTTGTGAAAAGCACTCTGGTTGGATCTGGGGATCGCCACACCGGAGAACCGGTGATGTCTCAGGCGGAGATTCAGAGGCAGATCCAGGAGTTGCAGAGGATGCAAATCGTTGCTGGTCACGAGCCGACCACCATCTATCACCGGAAAAGCGACGAAATGGGAAACCTTAGGGGTTACACCGGCGATTATTACACACAAAAACTTCCAGAGAACATTCAACCGGCGCAAGGGTCGTCTCCAGTGGGAATGCCACAACCTGTGCCATTTCCAACTGCGTATATGCCAGAGGGGCACATGAACACTGGGGGTTATCCGGTGACGACTGCCCCAGCTGGACCGGAGCAGCCCGTTTATTTCATTTCTACTCCGACCGGTGTATACCAGGCTCCCGCCCCTAGACCGGCGACCGGTCCAGTTGGTCAGGCATACTATGGAGTACCGCAGAGGATGGCACCAGAGGTGTACCGGGACGCTCAGGTGTACAATACTGCCGTGGCAGCACAGCAAGCACAACAAGCTCAGCAGGCACAACAAATTCAGCAGGCTGCAGCTTATGGTGAAGGGTTTGCACAGGTTGGGTATGATGCCGTCGGCAGGCAGGTATACTACACTGCAGCAGGAGGTGTCGTTTCTTCATATCAGACGGTTGCTCCAGTGCCCGTAGATGGGAGACAAGCTGCTGCTGGTGTATTGAATCAAATTCAAGATGGTAAGGTTGTTGTTTCCATGGCACCCCAAGCGTCTGCTATGTGACAAATATAAATAATAAAATTCATATATAATGTGTTTGTTCTTTTGTTTTCTAATGGTTCTATAGTTTAAATAAGAAGAAATAAGAATTTAATTGTATGGGTTTGTGGTGGATGCTTCTCTGGTTTTGAAATCCGAAACCTTTATTGTTGTTCGAATGGTATGACAATTAACATTGTTTCTTGTGTATATGAGGAATTGTTTTAGCGCAAAGTTTGGGTCTCTTTGGATTTTAGTTGTTCTTGAATCGAAAGTAGTGAAACACTGAAAATACTTGATACAGATATTGGGATTGAGCCTTTTGCATGAAATGTAGCTGCTTTAGTTACCCAGAAACGTGACAAGAGCCTCGATAAAGATTGTAGCAGCGTTTTCTCCTGATATGTTAGCCGCTTACATTACCTGAAAAGTTGATTAGTATATCGATATAACTGTCATTCAGAACGTAGCTAGTTTTGGCATCTGTTCATAATTGATCTGCAGTTTTGGTGTAACTTCTGTGTTTGCTCCCTTTTCTATATTGCTCTTAAATTGGTAGTAGAAGAATACAAACACATGAATGTTGTTATTGAGCTTTTTGAGTACCATGCTGCTACTTTGGGGACAAAGAATGGTGACAAGAACAAGGAGGAGATGGTGGAAATATTTTAGATGTTAAAGTGAGTAGTCGTAGTTCGAACAAGGAGGAGATGGTGGAAATATGCGTAGACCATGTGGCGGGATCTGCGTCAAAATATTTTTTGACCTCAAACGAGATATCGCTTGATAGTTTGTTTATATTAACTTAATGTAAGGTCTAGTCTACTTTATATTGTAATAAAATGCAGCAATGTGTGCTATGATGTATTAACTTAATACAAATGAAGTAATTGTTGATTATTCTTGTCCAGCCTGGTTATCATGTGTATCCGAGGAATTTTTTTAGTGTATTTATTTCGTCTGTTTTCGGTTTGTTGGTCTTGAGTTGAGGATTGAGATCCAATCTCTGTGCCCGGAGCACGCGGAGGAGATCCGAACTGTTCAAGAGAGAAAGATATATAAGTCTGAAGTTTTTAGATTTTTGTGAAGTGGGCCAGTGGATCTCGCTCACTTCATGGATTAACTACAATAATGTGTGGATCATGGCAAGTTGGATAAGAGTGCGGCGTGGGTTTGGTGGATTCTGTCTGCATTGTATTTTATATGCAATCTTAGTGTTAATTATTGGTGTTTAGCTTTTTTAATGTTGGTCTTTGAATTGGAAGTAGTGTAGTAAAAGCTTAAAAACACATGAATGGTGTGATTTAGCCTTTCGAGTGAAACAAGTTGCTGATTTGGCTACTAAGAATGGTGACAAAATACAAGGATTAAGGATAATAGCATTGTTGTTAAGTTTAATATTTGTAGCTCGATTATAATTTGCGTTGCGCGGTGGTGGTTTCGGGGATATTCTTGCAAGCACATGAGTATATCTCATGTGAGTATAGCACTCATCACGTGACCAGCCAAGTTGTTGCCACTGTGGTGGATGTAAATAATTTATTTTGGGCCTTTACGTTGCAAATTGCAATCAAAAGGAACTGCAACTTAACGTTATAATAAAGAGTTTAAATAATTGCTCTTTTCCAGCCTGGTTTTTGCACTATTGATTTTGTCTGCCATTGTTTTGTTATCCAAGTGGACAATTATTATATTCATCATCATTATTATTATTCTAGAGGTGAGACTAGATTCTTTAATATGAGAAAGAATGATTTATATGATACGGATATATTGATGTTGTATTACGTTTTAATAAAATAAAGATATGTGTAAGTTTTTTATTTACATTTTCTTATTTCATTGAGTAAGACAAGCGCGGAGATATGTGGAGCTTTGATTTGTCTATAGCACAGCCCAAAATTTGATAAAAATGATATAACATAAGGTCATTTGATTGTTTTGACTACATAAATATATTAATTTGAAAATTTAACCCACCAAACTAAGAGCATCTCTAATCACTAATGCTCGTCTTAGTGGTGGAAATGAATTATGTCTTTGCATTATGTTGGATTTGAATTCCGTTAGCTTCCTAATCTAATATCTAATCTAACCACTAATGCTATCATCTTATAAAAAAAAGGAGCATCTCTAACATCCTAGTTAAATGAGATCTTTTGGCTACTTTAACAAAAAAGTGCAGAAAAATCAAGCTCCAAAGCTAAATGACTAGCTATCTTAACTTTGGGAAACACTAACTAGCTAAATTTAGTTAGGAGGAAAGAGTTAAATTTTTTATCAACATCAAAAATTAGAAAATTATATTGTTTGTGGGCTTCAAGAGAAGAAAAAAAGGCTTGGATTTTTTTTTTTTTTAACAAACAGTATTATCTACACTAAAGGAGAGGGACTAGTCTTACCCTCACAATAGGTTAGCAACAAGGTGGTTCAACTTTGCCTCTAGCGAGAATCTAACATAAAACCTCTCATTTATAAGTGAAAAAAATATCACTAGACCATAATACTAAGTGCCAAAAAGGCTTGGGTTGTTAAGTTTAGGAAAAAATAACTATCAATATTTTAGCGTAAGCTAAAATTAACATTTGACGGGCCACTTAGTACTACGGTCTAGTAATATTTCTTCATTTGTAAATGAGAGGTCTTTGGTTCGATTCTCACCAAAGGAGAATTTAAACCATATTATTATGGCTAGCTCACCCCCTAGTGTAGATAATATAATTTGTTGTAACAAAATATTAACATTTGATCGGACGTTACGAAGTGTGATGTAAGTTGGTCTCCTCTAATCCTCGGTGAGCGTCTGCATCCAAAAGTTGGTCAACAAAGATGGGATGGAAGAATATAAGAAAGGGAAATGAAATGATGAAGAATTTGGCTTTGATTTTAATTTTTTCCCTTTATTCTCCCTTTTGTTTTGGCTAGTGATTTCTAAGTATCCCTTTTCAATTTTTGCACACCATTCTTAGTTTTGGTTCGAGAAAGAAGTTTGTGGATGCGCTGCTTGGTTAACAAACATCGAGTTAGGAGTTGGGACAACATGGATACAACACTATTGAAGTGAATTTGGAAGAATTTTGGTTTTCTATGTTCATATTACAAAATTGAGACTCCACCAAGGCCCTTCAGCGATTCGACGCGCCCCATAAGCTTGAGTTTCTTTTGATTTGTTGAATTCAATTGCTAAAAATAAGAGAGGTGCGTGCCACGTGGGATGAGAAAATTGGTGTCCACAAATTATTACACTTTGTTTTCTTAGCATTAGGATCAAATAATCAAAGAAGAATTGAGGGACATAAACAAAGGGACGATAGACACTGTAGGTGGGAGGCATCAAACCTATGACTTCACGTGCACGAGTAAATACCTTTAACTACTTGAGTTACAACGTTTTAATTCCAATACTCAGATGCTAGAAAAGGAAGTTGTTAAACTGTGGAAATGCATTCGGTTCGGTTACAGGAAGCGCAGTCTTGATCATCAAAGTTGAAAAAGCCCGACTGCAACCTGACATTGAGAGCAAGAAACTGGAATTAACAATGCGCCTTCAGGTAGGGGGCCAATGGTTCCGATTCAACGGAAGCTATGTGAAAATGGCGGAAGCTTGGAGTACAAGAAACAGAACACAATGAGTAAAAGTCTCGGGGAAGAAATCGTTTATTGAAAGCTTGTTATTTTCTGGTACATTGCATTACAGAAACTAGATTCAAGAGTGAAAATACAAACAACATTATTTTTGCTAAAGACTGACGCAAGTGTAGGAGGAGGTCTGCATGTCTGATTTATTTTGGATATAGGTGTTCCGATTTATATCCCCAACCGGGCACTCCTGCAGCAGCTGCCACAACCACCAACACAATGTCCTCCACCCCGCCACCGCATCCACCACATCCACCACCGCATCCACCACAAGCACTACTTTTTTTTCCATATCTTCACCACCACACATGCTACCACATCTACCACTGCATCCACAACTGCCACTATCTGCCTATCTTCACTACCATAGCTGCCGTCACACCCACCAATTGAGCTGTATTTTTCCAGGGCCTCATGTCCATTGGCTTTTCCATCCACCTCCTCCAGTAGCACACCATGACCCGATTTCTCCGAGGCACTGAATTGGTTGGCTATTTTCCTTTCTCATTGAACTGAAGTAGATCTTCCTTCAGATCATTCTCCATCGATTCCTTTTGCCTCTCTACATTGGTACTGAAACCGCCATACCCTCGTTTGCCAATTTATCAGCATATATATATATATATATATATATATATATATATAAAAAGATTCATTACCTCTAGGAATCTGGATTTCAAATCGAGCATAGCTACCGCTTTCCCATAGGGATGTTCTGCACAGAACTCGTTAACTGTCATAAAGTTCAGTTCATTTTTCTGCTTAGAGCAGTGCTTAGTTTCATATTCTAGTTTTTTGCCTGGAAGTGAAAGTACCTGCACCACCAACATGCACGAGTTAGTAATTAATGTATATGAATTTCAATAACGGTTCACTAAATTCATTTTACTATCAAAGATAACGCAGATACTCACCTTTTGGTTTACTTCCTTTCCGGGGAGACGATTCATTCTTGTTTCTGCATCCTTTGGATGCTCATCCACAAAACATGTCCAGCTTTTAAAATTTTGTATCCTTCCAGGGAGTAAAAAAAGCAAGACTTTGAGAACGGACCGTCTGAACCATGTCAGTGCATATGGTAATGGAATCGGAGTAGTTGAAGTGAGAGCAATGCGTATGGTGACAGGCTTTGAACCCGGAACTGCAGACGTGGGAGTCAACTCAAACCATTTGAGGAGGTCCTCTAAACTGAATGTTGAAGTTCCCAACAGTATAGGAGTCTTTGACATTGACAGAATCGAAGGGGAATACGACATAAGGAAGCACACAGCCAAGGCTTAAGGAAGCACACAGCCAAGGCGTTTAAATTACAACCAACCAATCTCCAGAGGCACTTGAATACGGACTTTGCCACCCTCCTCGATCGACATCACTTCCAGCGAAAAAAGGCTCACCAAATAAACAAATACGATGTATGAAATTAACAAATTCATTTAGCTACCAAAGAATACAGAACCCCTATCCGAAGAAAATACCAATGCAATTCATCTGAATTCATGCAGATTTAAAGAGAATATTAATTTGAATAATTATTGTGCATATATATAGACACACACACACTATGTATGAAGATCATATGCATCACACAACAACAAAATCAAAAGAAAATGGTTGGAGCTTCTTGGCCTCATTACCCATCTTGCGTCAGCGAAGGCTGTACAAATGCTGCATGTTGTGGTCAAGGTTTCTTATTTCTCTATCTCCACTACTTCTATATTTTATTTATTTATTTATTTTTAATATATATCAAATACACACCTACAAATTTGAATGTCGATAATTTTTACTATTTTCAGAATTCAAATATGTTTGGCCGGAACTAGTTGGAAATCCTGCGTCGGAGGCTGCAGCCATAATCGAGAAGAGCAACCCATCAGTTACAGTTCTCATCTTAAAGCCTGGATTGATTAGATTGGACAATTTTTGTTGCAACCGTGTGTATGTTTTCAGTGATCAAAAGGGCAGAGTCTCGGCGGTACCTACAGTCGGGTAGATACTAGAGAATGATCCAGTGAAGCAGCCTTCACCAATAATATGTCAATCATCTTAATGTATTCATAATAATTGTGGAAAATTCTACTGCATCCACTGACGTTTACTTATTTTCAAGCTTTCTTTCAAGATGGGACTTATGATGTACTTTGTCTCATGTTCTTCGTTATTTTGAATAAAAGGATTAGAATTCCAAAAGATTATGGATATGATTTCTTAGCCTTCCTAACTGAGGCAGGGCCATAAACATTTGAAAGGCCATCCAGGTGAGAGTGTTTCCCCAGGCAACGGGGCGAGGGACTAGTCGCTCACTATTCATAGCATAAATAGTAACTGTCTTAATGCATCTTCATCCGTTTAAGAGTTGCCTAGACATTACTATTCATGAAATATTATTTAAAAAAAAATCATAATTAAGGGAAATACAACCTTAAGCGTTGTTTAAATAGTCTTAAATTGGGATTGCTTTGGATCGGATGGACTCAACTACAATGTACGTCATGATGATGACGGGTTTGTTCTGCATTGTTTGATTAACAATTAGACGGTGTTCAGATTTGGATGAGTTGATTTAAGAAAGTCCACGGAAGGTAAATTTGAAACTTCAGATAGGAACATTAGCAATTTTTCGTTTACAACATGGTACAAGTTTCTGGATGTCTTTGAATGCTGCAGGAACAGATGTGCCTCTTAGTGCAACGACATGGATTGTCTCAAGCGCGTGATGGTCCTGTTACTGGGATGTCTTTGAATGCTGTAGGGAATACAATGATTTCAATTTGCTCTTCATAATTACGCAAGCTCTTATTTGTCCTTTGGATCTGAACTGGTTCTATATTTGAGTGATTAAACTTTTACGAACAAACATGTGATCGATCTTTTCTTGGCTCCGACGGAATATTTACCGCCATGGATTCTTTCATTGTACTGCCAATGAGTTTCTGTGCTTTTTCATACTTTCAATTCATGTTAAAAACCAACTTCAGTCTATACATTTATCATTATAACGAATTTGCTCAGGAATTAACTCAATAACAAGAAGAAATCAAAGAAACATCTTATATATAAACTAAGAAAGAAATTACAATCTCTCGTGATCAAAACTGCGCTTCTCCTCTCCTGATCATTGAACACAATTGCCCAACCACAAACAATCGTTCCAACAATTCATCCCATCCAACGGCAAAGGCACTTGAGTTTCGTCAATTCGAGGGCAGCTCCTCTTGCAACCATGCAGATTCACAAGTCTAATGGTGCAAACAAATCGTCGAGGTCAAAAAATATTTCTTCGCCGTTCTCAAAAAGAAAGTCTTCATCTTTCAAAAGTTGCTCACCACCTTCGCTGACCAAGCTTATCGGCACATAATCATGATCAGAAAAATTTGCGGGCATCGTACTACCGTCAATGTTGCTTATGCACTGCTGATCATCATTAGTAGCGTAACTAATCATCTTATAATTGCTTTCATCGATGGTATGGGCGATCACACTAGTAGTATTTTGTGATCCCACTTCGTTTCTTGCCTTTGTTTTCGCCGGCTTCTTGTTCGCTTCTTTTCTTGCTCTCTTTTTCACCGGCTTCTCCTTGACTTCTTTTCTTGCTCTCTTTTTTGCACGCTCCTCGTTCACATGTTGGGTTGCATTCGAACAACTCTTCTTGTTTCTACTCCTAGAACTCTTTTTAAGTCGGCAGAGAACCACCTTTCCAATTTCGTGATCGGAGTCATCAGTGCCACCAACTACACTAGGAAGCATACTGTACTCTTCCAGGAGCCAGTCACCGTCGTGCTCACACCCTTCCTTCTCATACCGCAAATTCCTCTTTTTCCCAATAGGTTTTTCATTCTGAAAATCCCTAACCGGCTTTGAATTGGATTCGCTCCACGTTCCTCCGGCGTCAATTTCACGTTTGATGCGGGCCTCACTTCTATTCTTGAGTTGGCAGAAGAAGAACAAATCTTGACCGTCAAGGCACGGTCCGCCAAAGTTCTCCCAAACCACCCAGGGTGGAGTCTTGCCGAAGAGGTCGAACTCATAGACAAGCTTAAAATTGTTGCAGTACGCCATTAACGACTCTCTGTGGAGGACTCTGTGATAAAGGAAGAAACTGATCAAATCCTGATCGGTCGGATGAAACCGAAAACCCAGCGGCATACCGTTAGAACCCAGTAGCGGATTTTCATAGAAACCCAGCGGCACAATACCACCATAACCCTCCTCCTCCATTGTTAAGACGTCGTTAGGTTTTCTGTTCATGGTCGAGTTAGGGTTTCTCTCTGTTACTTATGTAGAATTGACGTGGAAGAAATTAGGGTTTGATGAGGACAAGGACCTTCTTTGTTTTGTTGCGAAATCGATTGAGATCTTTCCTTACAGGAGTAGGTGATTATATACTTTTTCTTCCCAAGCCTCTGCCGTTGGATCTAATGTCATCCAACGGCTGGGCGGGTTTCACATAAGTAGCCGTTGGGTGAGCAAAAGGGATTATCCTACAGTGGATAGGAAAAGTATATCTATATTTCTCCCGCGTTGTTGTTCGCAAGCGCCGCCTCTCTCCCGCCACTGGAAGTCGGAAACCGGGTCGGATAATAAAATCAGGCGGGGGAATTACACAAACTCACTCTCTCTCTCTCTCTCTCTCTCAGGAATGCTAGTGCACTGCAGTCTGCCGAAATGGTAATGATTATCAGTTTTTGCTACCGAAGAATTTATGAAATTAACAAATTCATTTATCTACCGAAGAATACAGTACCCCTTTTCCAAGAAAATGCCAATGCAATTCATCTGAATTAATGCAAATTTAAAGAGAATATTTGAATGATTATTCTGCATATACACACACACACACACTCAGCATGTATGAAGGTCATATCCATCAAACCAGAACAAAATCAAAAGAAAATGGTTGGAGCTTCTTGGCCTCATTACCCGCCTTGCGCGAGCGAAAAAAAAGTAGACAAAAATGGCCATGATTTTCTTTTTAATCTTTTCATTTCCATCACTGTGGTAAAGAGTCACTTGCACAAATAATGTTTTGTTAATAGAGCATTTTGATCTAGATGCTTTATTTTTTTTAATTTCTTGGACCAAACAACTTAGACATTTAAAGATTTGAACAAACCACTTTCAACAATTTAAATTAATTTTGGCAAATAATTTTTTTAATTTACTAATTAAATAAACAAAAAAAAAGACAACACACTCCTAAAATCTTGTAAAAGAAAATTTTGTTAATTTATGTCCCATTAATTCAATATATTTCAGAAAAAAAAAAACCAATAAAATTTCTGTAAAAACAAAAAAGCATTTTAATGTGATATTTTAAACGTACAAATGTATTGCATTATTCCAAATGATATTACATACACGGTGTGAGTATATATATATGCATGCACATATATATTAAACGTAACGTAAGAAGAAATGTACCACAAATAATTTGCTATATTTTTGGTATGTTATGTAATCAAAATTTTGGTACATTATGTAATTTTAGTTTAGATACGTACCAAGCTACTCGTATGTTGTATTATCATATAATTTGGTATGTAAAAAGCTAACGACACGTTATGTGTAACCCTAAACAAAATTTATGTTAAAACTTTATACAATTTATATATTACATAAATTCTTAATAAGAAGCTTTACCTCTAGAGATAAAAACACAAAATACATTTCATAGAACTTCAATAGTTTTAAATCATATCAAGGAGACGGAAAAACTCAAACCCCAATTATTTATTGACATGATGACTCATATTTGTTTTAAGAAGGAAAAAAAGGAAAAGGAGATTATTTTCCATGAAATGGATGTAGGTCATGTTTCCGAAAAAAAATTAAACTCTTCGATTCTCGTCAAATGCAAAGGTAAACTACATTATTAAGGCAAACCATTGTAAGGATTAACTCACTCCCCCACCTTCTTATTGTAGATACTATTGTTGTTAAAAAAAAAAAAAAAAAAAAAAACTCTAAATTTTTTAAAATGTACATAAAATATTTAATTGGAAAATAAGAAAAACACATAAATAAAGGTAAAGTAGTTTGATCAAAACATAATGAAAGTATTATTACATTATCATATATTCAGACGCCCACGTATGACTTTTATCTAGTGTTTAATTTATAAAATGTTGAATCTGAGCAATTGAATTTAATTATTTTTCAATTTAAACGTAATATCGATAAGAAAATGTAAATGAAAAAAGAAAAACTTACATCATGTAATTACTAATTTACCCTGGATTTGAACCGTTTGGGTAGATTGTTGCTTGTCCGTATTCAATTAAAGGACCGCCTTCGAGCGCGTTATTTCTCCCGTCAGCGCCCGCTTTGCATTTCAAAATCCCATCTCCCTCTCGCTCTAAAAGTCCCAACGGTCGAAAAAACGTGATCCGATTCTCTCAACGATCAGTACATCAATTAAGGGGCAGCGAATGGAACAGACGGCCACTTTTCTCATCTGAAATCTGATCGGTGTTTGCATTTCGGATCTCTCTCTCTCTCTCTCTCTCTCCAATTGCTTGAAGATACCCAGTTTTCAATCGTTCGAAGGTATTTTCTGTATCGCTCTGGTTAATTGGCAATTTTAATCGCTATGTGTTGTGCAGGAAAGGGACGACCCCAAACGCAGTGGCGATTGGGTTTCTGAATTTTGTGATTTCTAGGGTTTGTGGTTTATAAATTTGCAATCTTTCTTATTACATCCAATTTTCTTCGTTTGTTTGTTGGGTTTCTTGAGTTGGATCGTACACACTGATTAGTCATTAACAAAAATGACCCACTTTAAGTCTTTAAGTGTGATCATGACGCAGGGTTCCTGTACTTACAGTTTCAGTTCAGTTGTCCTTACTCTCTGTTCTCCCAATGCCCCTCCTCTAAAGCCTATGCGCATCACCGTCCCCAAAACACAAACTCCCAGCCTCCGCGGGCAAAAGAGGAAACAAGAAGCAGCCCCACAAGAGTAAGGACGTCAAAAGAAGCACAGATCGAAGAAGGTGCCTTCCCGTCTGTTGGCATTCTGACATTGGAAATAGGTACGATAATTGGAGAACGAAAGCCTGATCATCTTAATGATGCTGATATAGCCGGTGCTCACATCCGGACTCTGCTACTGACATTTTTCATGGGATATATCAGGTAAAGAATGCATATGTAGTGCAATGGACTCAAATATCAAATGGTGCAGTAGTTCTTGGTTACAGTTTGCAGAAAGCAAGAACATACCAACTGAGAAGAAACCGAGATAAAAGTATCAACTCATATCTTACAATGTAAATGTATGCATTTCAAAACTAAAAAGGAAAATAGTTTCAAGAGCATGTATTTGATCTCAAAAAATGTATTTCTCTGCTGATAAATTATGATCCTCGGTTCCAGTAAGTTGCTACTTATGGCTCAACCTTTATTCTCTGTCATCGAGGTGTTACTCTTACAGCGCCAATATTACACTGAACTAAGATTCAGTTGATGATGCAGCATCATCTTTGTGCTTAACCATACCAGAATCCACAAGAACGGGAATCTCTGCCGCAAGCCATGGTGCAAGACCCAAACAAAGTGCATGTGCTATACCAAATCTTGGACTGCACAACATGAGAAAGATCATAAGTACTACTAGCCGATAACTCCAAACATGTTTATTTAAACAAATGAGCACGTTGTTTGTTTGCATTATTAATGCTTTCCAGAAGAGATTAGAGTAAGTTCCTTGTTGGAGATTAAAGGAAGACTAACACTTTCATGGTAATCAATTACTATGTGAATGCCGTGAAAAGCAAAAGTTCCACAGACGGATGTTTCTCACTACAATTCAAATTAAGGAAAAAGAAAATGCGTTGCGCAAGTTTTACAAAAATTATTTTCCATCCACAGAAAAGAATACAAACATAATTCTTTCACAAAGAAAATGCAAGGTAAGTCATGTTATGCGAAAAGAAATTCCTCTCACAGAGGCAAAGATACTTAATCTAAATGCATAAATTGGTTTCAGTAACAGATGACTAACATATTGAAATATACAAACCATGCATCCTAAATTTCTGCTCGAAGCAAATAATCAAAAAGCCAAACAAATTTCGAGTTTTCTTTATCAGTTGCAACAACATTTGAGTTTTTATTGTTCTGTTATGTCATATCTTTTAAAGCGAATTAAGAGCTGAGTTCACAGCTGATTTCGAAATCTCAAGTAAACCCAAATATTACAAATTTCCCAACAAAAAAAAAAACTTTCCTTTCATTTCTTATAATTTCTCTGTGACCAAACAGATAAAAAATTCACAATAATTCAACAAATACAACAAATTAAAGACAGCAAGATGGAAAAATCACCAGTTCTTGGCCCAAAGCGGCTTGAAATGCACCGTCAAGCAGATCTTCCCCCCTCTATACATCTGAACCAATCCAAAATTACCCAGAAATTAATGGACTTAAATTACAATCAGAAAACAAAAATGGGGGAAGAGGGGAAATCGTAAAATCAAAATAAGGCCGACCTTTTGGGTCTTGCCGTCTAGCTGAGGGAGCTCGAGTTCCGGTGCGGTGGCGGGGTAGGTGATGGGGATATCGAACTGGAGATCGAACTCGTACTTGAGGAGGTTGTAGACGTACCAGCACTTGCCAGTCCACCGTGTACCCTCGGGATTGGAGGCGGAGATTCGGAACCAATCGTTGTCGTTGGACTTGTTCATCTGGGTGTATGCGATCAGCGCCTTGTACTCCTCCTTCAGCCGCTGCGTCCACGCCGCCCCATCTCTGGGACCGGCCTTCGTCGTCAAGAGTGGTATCTGGGTCAGCGTCGACTTGGTGTTCGGGTCCCAACCCTCCATTTTTGATCTTCCACCGAGCAAAACCCTAACCCCCAATTTAATTCGACTCGCTCCGTCTCTGTCCCCTATAAGAAAAAGGCTTTCAGTTATTCGCCAATGAACTTTTTTTTTTTTTTCTTTTTTTTTTTTGAGTCTATTGATATTTGTACATTAAAGAGATATGAAGTTCGGTTAAGTTACATAATGAGAAAACTAATTTGGTATTCAATTTGTTGTCTAAGAGATTCGAACCTAAAACATCTCACTTCCAAGGGAAGAGACCAAAAACGAAAAAATAAAAATCTTTAACCAAATGAAGAATAATTTAAAAAAAAAAGAAAAACAAGTGGTTTAAAAATGGGAGGAGAGTTATCTCCCCTTCTATTTGAACGGTTACGGTTTAACCATGTCAACATCTTATATTACTTTTTTATAGAGACAATATGACAAAAAATAATATGTGAGAGGAGGGGAGATGAGAAGTGGATGGGAATAAGAAGGAAAAAAATCCTCCTCCTTTAAAATGACCAAACATTTAATTAAATGAATACCCAATAATCCAATAATTGCCCCTTTTTGTGGGGGTAGAGGACAAGGAAGGTAACATATTTTTCAAACTTTTCACCTCAATCATTTAATTAGAAGAATTCTTTGTTGGGTCAACTTAACGGACTTCAGAATCTCCTTTACAAGCATCAAGAGTCAACTAAACAGTCGACAACTTCTTTTGAGAGGACATAACAAGTTGACGTGAAGAATAGTAACCAAGGCAAAGTTCTCTTCCCTTCCAATAGGCTCTTAAGGCACATAAACGCCACCCACATAAGCGCTACTATTATCGACCTTTCCAACGACAGACCTTCTCCCACATCTCACTCCAGGCTAATGCAATCTCGTTCATCTTAACCAAAGTGGAGTCCAAGTTGATACTGTCTAACTCGAAAGGTATCCATCACATTCTAGCTTCACCTATATCACTTTTTGTAGGTTATGAAATCTTTGAAGTGTAATTCCCATTTGTTGACTTTGTAATTGCCCACCATGACTTTCTCTTTAGCTTTCTTTAAAGCAACAGCCTTAAGCTTCACAAGGCGCAAACTAATCGAAGATTTTGGCTTGGCGAAGTCCAACTTTCGCAATACCGGCAGACGATGGATCATCACCTAGGAGATCATGCAAATACAATGCCTTTTTTATGAATGACAACTCTCTATTTGGGAGCCATGGGTTGTAAACGTGAAAAACAACAATAAGGAAAATTCATCTCTCTTTGTAGAAGCAGATTGATAGTTGAAACAACTTTTTCATCGTGACATGAAGATATAATAACTGGCACAAAACCCTATTTCCTGCTTAATGCATGGAGTAGTGACGATCCTCTTCTTACTCGTTTAATGCTAACACTGGCAACTGTTTCCTTAACCCCTCCCCAAGATGTGGAAGATTTTGAAGACACAAATATGGACCTCTCTGCTATTATCCAAGTCATCCTCATTACCAAAATTGTGCTTACCATAGGGATCGCAACTTGTTGACGTGAAGATTCAATAACTCGTGCATGATTGTCATCCCTGATTGTCTGTCACCGCCAAGATTGCTTGCTTGACTTTTCTCCAGCCTTACACTTCACAAGGCTAAGTCGCAAACCAATAAAAAGTCCAACATTGCATCGTTGTTCATCTCACATCGAAACAAAGAAAAGACGATCAACAATCAACATCATTTTGCCAGCACAAGGTGCATAACTTAGGATGCAAAGCACAAAGATTAACAAGTGCAGACTCAACACGAACTTGCAGACCTGAAGGTTCATTGTTTTCCCAATTCTTGGTAATCTTTAGGATGTCGTAGCAGCAAACCTTCCCTGTTTGCATAGAAGAGAGGCAACCATCAAACTCCATACGCACAAAACCCAATAACCATCCACATCCATGAAGATACTCCAACGAAGTCATTGCTCTTAATAGCTTAACATCATCTTTCGAGTTTCGTGCTCACTTTAGCAAGCTAGTAACCGTGCCTACGCGCCTTGCAGACAGCATGTCGACATTCTGCCTATACATGCCATGATAGCAGAGCTGCTCACTTACCCGGTTCATAAGAAGAAGGTGGTCATATGCTCATAATGTTCATTGAGCATAAAGACATCCCACTGCACAAAACACATCCTCGATTAACCGAGCAATTGGAAGCTTGAAATGAAAAGAGATGAAAAGAATTAGATAGTCATCTACTAGCCTCACGCTTGTTGAGAGTTGTCCCACATCGATGAGGGACAAGGTCTGTTATATGCTTATATGATATTGGGCTACTCCCCCGTATAGCCAATTGGTTTTATAGTGGAACATCAATTTCATCATGGTATCAGAGCAAGGTTGTCCACATGTGAAGCCCAACGGCTACACGCGCTCCACATCACCCAATTGTTGTCCACATGTAGGCTTGAAAATCCACCACACGCGCGGATGGGTTTGGAGAGTTGTCCCACATCGGTGAGGGACAAAGTTTGCTATGTGCTTATATGATCGTGGACTATTCCCCATGTAGCCAATCGGTTTTATGGTGAAACCTTATTTTCATCAACGCCAACTTCCGAAGGGAAAGCCACATCATTGCCTTACATGTTAGCCTTAAAACCTTTTTTTTCATATCTAGCCACATCAACCTCAGAACAAATTTTCCTACTTCAGTTAATGTTTGCATCATTCTTGTATTTTGGAAACTCGATGCAACTTGCAACCTTTTTTAGAGACGACATTGCACTCTGACTCTGTCGCGAACACCTGTTAAAGTAACGAATAAGTCGTAAGAATATAGTCACAAGTTTTTAATTTAATTTATTGCCACTTCTATTGATAGCAAAGTTAGAGACGAATTGACTTATTGAATTAGGAAGAACGGTGAGACATAAGAAATTTTGCAGCTAAATGAGCCATGTCCTCAACTTGTGTCACATTCTGCATCGCAACCTTCTCTGAGTCACGCCCACTTCGCTCACCATGCCGGTTGACCCCCTCAAAACACTTTGCCTAATTCTTTTGAATCTCAACCCAGTTCTAAAACATAAAGACTCTCGAAATCTAAAGGACCCGATGTATATGTACAAATGAATAAATAAATAAGTAAGAAGAATATAATAAGGATCAGTTTTGACATGAAATGGATGTACCCTTTGCATGCTTGGGGTAGCATCAAGCCAAGCCATTTTGGGCCAAACAATGTTCTAGCCCAATTCCATCACGGACTTACAACTCTTGGGCAGCCCAGCGACAACATCTTATGTGTAGCCAACTCGAGGATACCAGGGGTGCCGCTCTATTGCCCCATTACGTGTGAAGATGAGGAGGAAGGAAGAAGTGAAAATATCATACTTATAATTTTTCTTTGTGAATTATCTACACAAATCCTAAATTTACTAAGCAAGGAATTTGCGAGAATTCAACCAAGGGTAATCTTCTATTTATATTAAGTCCTTATGGGAAAAGAAAAGTAAACATTTTCCTTTTAAGACTTGAAAACCTACCTTGTCTTGGAAGAAAATCCTATGCATTTAGGAAGTCCTATTCAAAAAAGAAGTACATCTCCTTTTGTTTTCTACTTAAACACAAGATGTGGAGCATTTGTGGAGACATAAATTAGCTACACTCAATAGGAGAAGAACATGTAGACAATATGCTCAATATGACGGTTTTATGCTTGACGTCATGAGTAGACCGCAAAATTACCTAAAGGGAGTTTATCTTATAGTAATTGGGCTTTTATGCCACTAACGGACCAAAGGCATTTCGAGCTGCTTCTGGTGTTGGTCATAGACTATTCAGACCGCCCATCCCTATATCGGTCTAATGATAGCAGGGCACCAACTCTCTAGAGTCTCTCTTTGGGTGTCCATCCCATTCAAGAAAGCACTCTTCGTTCTTCGTCAAATCCTCCTTCAAGATCAAGCCCCAACGGCCCTTGAAGAACTTCAACCAACTCAAGATCAAACCCCGACGGCCCTTGAAGAAAGTGTTCATTGTTCATCATCTGTTCATCCTAAGATCAAGCCCCAACAGCCATTTGGATCAACAACATCAACAAATCCACACATCAAACCGTTCTTCAAGATCAAGCCCAAAAGCTCTTGAAGATCCGCCCATCCATCCTCCTTCAAGATCAAGCCCCAACGGCCCTTGAAGAACTTCCACCTTCAAGATCAAGCCCAAAAGCCCTTGAAGATTCGCTCATCCATCAACCTTCAAGATCAAGCCCCGACGGCCCCTTGAAGAAAGTGTTCATTGTTCATCAACTGTTCATCCTAAGATCAATCCCCAACGGCCCTTTGGATCAACAACATCAACAAATCCACACATCCAACCGTTCTTCAAGATCAAGCCCAAAAGCTCTTGAAGATCCGCTCATCCATCAACCTTCAAGATCAAGCCCCGACAGCCCCTTGAAGAAAGTGTTCATCATTCATCATCCGTTCATCCTAAGATCAAGCCCCAACGGCCCTTTGGATCAACAACATCAACAAACCCATACACCCATTCTTCAAGATCAAGCCCAACGCCCCTTGAAGATTCATTCATCATCCGTTCATCCTAAGATCAAGCCCCAACGGCCTTTTGGATCAACAACCTCAACAAACCCAGACACCAAAACCTTGAAGCCTTAAAGTTCTAAAGCTCTCAAGAAAATCCCGAAGGATCAAGAAAGCCCTCTTCGTTCTTCGTCAAATCCTCCTTCAAGATCAAGCCCCGACGGCCCTTGAAGAACTTCCACCAACTCAAGATCAAGCCCCGACGACCCTTGAAGAAAGTGTTCATCATTCATCATCCGTTCATCTTAAGATCAAGCCCCAACGGCCCTTTGGATCAACAACATCAACAAAGACACACACCAAAACCCTGAAGCCTTAAAGTTCTAAAGCTCTCAAGAAAATCCCGAAGGATCAAGAAAGCACTCTTCGTTCTTCGTCAAATCCTCCTTCAAGATCAAGCCCCAACGGCCCTTGAAGAACTTCCACCAACTCAAGATCAAGCCCCGACGGCCCTTGAAGAAAGTGTTCATTGTTCATCATCCGTTCATCCTAAGATCAAGCTCCAACGACCCTTTGGATCAACAACATCAACAAATCCACACATCCAACCGTTCTTCAAGATCAAGCCCAAAAGCACTTGAAAATCCGCTCATCCATCAACCTTCAAGATCAAGCCCCGACGACCCCTTGAAGAAAGTGTTCATCATTCATCATCCGTTCATCCTAAGATCAAGCCCCAACGACCCTTTGGATCAACATCCTCAACAAACCCATACACCCATTCTTCAAGATCAAGCCCAACGCCCCTTGAAGATCCATTCAGCAACTGTTCATCCTTAGATCAAGCCCCGACAGCCCCTTGGATCAACAAACAAATCCACACATCTATTCTTCAAGATCAAGCCCAAAAGCCCTTGAAGACAACCAACTGTTCATTCAAGATCAAGCATCGACGGCCCTTGAAGAAAACCAACCGTTCTTCAAGATCAAGCCCAAAAGCCCTTGAAGATCCGCTCATCCATCAACATTCAAGATCAAGCCCTGAAGGCCCTTGAAGAAACTTCCATCAACCTTCAAGATCAAAGCCACGAAGGCCCTTGAAGAAACTTACAACTGTTCATCCAAGATCAAGCCTCGACGGCCTTTGGATCAACAAATCTACATCTTATAGAGGTCGAATCAGAGGACCAAATTACAAAGAGAGATCATAACCCCAAAATCATTAAACCAAAAAATATTATTTTGTACACGTATTCTTGTCTCTTGTTTTTAGGAATTTTTCGTGTTCACAGAAACATTACGAATATCATGGATATTGTACCTATGGTATTGACGCTATTTCAATATTATGTATATTATCACACTAAATGCGCTGACACCTAGTCTAAAAAAATGTGCTAGCACCTAGTCTAAAAATGCGTTGGCACAAATGATCTCAACCCCTACAAAATGCACTGGCACTCGGCCCATTTAAAATATTTTAAAATTTTTATAAAAGAATAAATAAATAAAATAGTTTTAATTTCGGATAAGATTTTTAACCAATCTCGTAACGCCACGTGTCATTATCCGAACGTACTATTTTATGAATAGATTTCCGCTAAGATTTGTAACCAATCCTGATGTGCCACGTGTCACTATCTGTTTACAATAATTTAGTCAAAATTACGATAAGATTTTCAACCAATTCTGACGCACTACGTGTCACTTCCTGTTTGCAATAATTTAGCCAAGATTTCGATAAGATTTTCAACCAATCATGTAGTGCCATGTGGCATTGTCCAGAACCTCATCACTTCTTTCTTTTTTGTCCATATAAACCCTACATCTCTACATCCATCCTCACACAGAACTTAATCCTTATTTTTAGCTCAGAATCCTTCTTCATTGTTTTCAAATCTTGAGTTTTTTTTACAATGTCTTCTTCAAGGAGAGTGCATAAACAATTTGTGGAGTAACAGAAAAGATTGTTGGCACAACAAGAAGAATTGATCAATCTTGAGGAAGGTGAAGGTGGAGATTAGACTTTCGCAATTGAGGAAGACTCGGATGATGACCATAAAAGGCAGAGAGCATCATATTCCCCCCATGTCATGGAAGCTGTGAGTCAGATAGCCAAACCTAGACATGCCGCAAACTTCGGTAGAAAAAGAAAAAAGACGAGGTAAAGACCTCTTGGAAGATTATTTTATTCGCAACTGCGTATTCTCTGATCATGTTTAGAATGCAATGAAGTTTGTTCAACAAAATCATGAGTACTATTTGCAACCATGATCCATATTTTGTGCAAAAAGATAATGTTTTTCGTGTTCTAGGTCTTCTTCTAGAACAAAAAATTACGGCTGCCTTGCAAATGCTTGCATATGGACCATCTGCAGATCAAGTGGATGAAATCGCGAGGATAGGAAAAACAACTGTTCTGGAGTCCTTGATGCTGTTTTGCTATACAATTGAAGCCCTGTACACCAATGAGTACCTCTGAACACCCATGCCAAGGGACATGCGAAGGCTTCTGAGGGAGGGTGAGATGCGAGGCTTCCCTGACATGATTGCAAGCATTGACTGCATGCACTGGACTTGGAAAAACTGTCCAAGTGCGTGGTAATGAGCTTATGGTGACAGAAAACGAGACAAAAGTATCATTTTGGAAGTGATGACTTCATTTGATACATGGATGTGACATGCTTTTTATGGTGTTCCAGGAGCTCAGAATGACCTAAATATCCTTGGTCAATCTCCAGTGTTCGACGATCTGCTGCAAGGAAAATCGTCGAGGTGCACATATTGGGTTAATGGAACCAAATATGATGGACCATACTACCTTGTAGACGGCATTTACCTAAGGTGGTCTACGTTTGTCAAAACAGTGCCACATCCACAGACTGAAAAAGAAAAATACTTTGTAAAATGTCAAGAGGGGTGTAGGAAAGATGTGGAGCATTGTTTTGGTATCCTGCGAGCTCGTTGGGTGATTGTCAGGTTTGCTGCTAGACTGTTTGATATCAAGGCTCTTAGATCCATCATGATGACGTGTATTATTCTCCATCATGGCGAACTATGTAGACCTATACCGTGCATGACAACTTCTGGACCGGTTGACACAATTTTGTATATGGGTCAATCTTTGACAATTTGCCAACATTCTCATTTGTTGAATGATTTGTTGTGGTTCTTCGCATTGTAGAAAGCTTGTGCTTGTAGTGTCTATAAATGTGGGATAACACAATATTATAAAAAATGTGAGTGTAACACAAATAAATAAATTAAAATATTAATGCGTGTGGAATACATATAAATAAATAAAAATATTGTCACCTGATTCACTAAACTTGTCCCACTACGTAGATTACTGAAAGCATGAGAGATGGCGTTTTTCGAACAAGTAAAGGATGCGTTGAGTTTTTTGCAACAACCTTGATGACCTTGACTACTTCTGACATCTTTTCCATGTGCATCGCAAAACGCTTTCGCAATTTTACTTCACATTTCTCGCTTATCCATCTCATTACCCGTAATCGGGTCATGAGTTGTGTGAACCCAACATTCACACAATGTAACATCTTCAATGAGCTTCAACGTAGACATTTTTTCTCTCTCAAAGTGTAGAAAATATTGAAATGTACAATGTGTAGAAAGTATTGAAATGTGGTGTAAAGTGGAAGATGAGGGTTAGGAATTTATAGAAATTTTTTTATGTATTTTTTAATAATTTTTCTATATTTTTTCATAATTTTTAATAAATTTTAATGTAGTTAATTAATCAGGACCGTTGGATTTGAAAAATATTCAAATCCAAGACCCAAGGAGCTGCTACGTGGCCAACGGTCATAATTCTGACCGTTGGGCCCTTTTATTTTTGGGGGAAAAACGTGGATCGCTAATTTATAATCGGACGGTTCGTTTTAAAAGTAAAATTTAAAATTTTTTTTACCGTTGGAAATCCAACGGTCTAGAAAAGCTAGCCGTTGGAAATCCAAAGGCACTGAGAGGGCCACGTTGCCTATTTCAGGGTGAAGAACAAGTGGGCTGACATCGAGCCCCGCTGCCTGCAACCATGCCCCCTACTTGCGCCCAGTCGTGAGTGAACTGCTTGCGCCAACCAAATAGGTCGGTCTTTGGGTCTTTTAAAAATGCGTTGGTCTGTTGCCTGGCTTAAGCTGGGTGTGGGGCAAGTTTGTGGGCTGAAGTGAATGGACTGACCCCCAACTTGGTTTTTTGACTGGGTGCCAGCGCATTTGCACCCCAGTGGAAGTGCTCTAATATCATTGTTACCTTTGCACCTCAACTGCTACGCTTCATTATTGGCAGCATCACCATACCGCTACCATTACTGCTACCATCACCACCATCACCGCCCCAGTGCCCCACCACCAACATCATTGCCCCGCAACTGCTATCGTCATCACACCCCACTACCATGTCCATTTTTGTCATTATATACAATTTTATCACTTTTACGTTACTCGACATGCCTTTCATATCACAATATTTTTAAAATACAATTTATCAAATACTCAACTACTTTAGAAACAATTTCTTTAAAAAGACATTAAATTCCAAAACTATACATTTTTTTTAACAAACGATATTATATGCATAAAAAAAAAAAAGTGAGGAAATGAGTAAGCCTGGTAATAAACGTAATAATCCCAAAATCGTACCTCTCTCACAGGAACACCACAACTCTCAAAATCCCGTTAGCAAAATCACCATCAACCGAATCCAACCCACCCAAAATCCACATCAACCGAATCCAACCCATAAAAAATCCCCTCTCCCTCTAATTTCCCCCAATAAAAAAACCGCCACCTTCATCCCATGCTGCTCCATCAAAACCCCCTCTCCCCCTTTTCAAAACCCTAATACCCCCAATTCGATTTTCCCACCCTCTTCCACTCCAACCGGTCACAGCCACTTTCAATGGCCGGAGCAGCTTCCAACGACCAGGCTCTCTCTCTCCTCGCCACCGTCAACAACCACGGCGATTTGGCCGTCAAGCTTTCGTCTTTGAAGCAGGCCAAGGATCTTTTGCTGTCCCTCGAGGCCTCTGTGGCTGCCGACCTCTTCCCCTACTTGGTCGAGCTCCAGTCCTCCCCCGAAAGCCTCGTCCGCTTGTCTCTCCTCGAGTGAGTTCCCCAAACCCTCAATTCTACAATTCGCAAGTGCTATACGTTGATTGCGAAAAAAAAGCATGTTATAGTTGCTTTTGAACTTTGTAGGTTTATTTATTCTTTTGAATTTTAGGGAATTCAAACTTTTTTATCGTGTTCGTGATATTTCCGGGCTGCATTGTGTTTCCCCATTAGGTCCTGGTCCTGTTGAGTTGGTTTCGTAGGTGACCTTTTTATATACAACATTGGGTCAGGAAACTTTGGCTCTGCGAGTTTTGTGAAATTAAAAGTTTGGATCTTGATTCTGTTAGTATACCCAATTATACCAAAATTTGGTAGCATCTTTCTTCCTTGGGATTGATGAGTATTTTCGCTCAGTGAAAAGATTTATATTTCTATGTTAGCTATTCATCTTTGCAATTCATATAAACTTAGATTAGAAGAGAACTGTCACCACCATTGTACCGTGATTATCTTGTGGACTTTATGTTTTCATCTTTTAAATGTTTTAGCTATCTATTGATGCTTTTTTGTAGGAATGTGTAGACATGGGAATACTCACTGCGCATTTCAGGTTTTATTTTTTGGGGTTGAACTTAATCATGATCTGTTGTTCTTTTGGCTGGCAGGGTCATTGAGGAGGTTGGCATGAAAGCAATGAAGGAATCTTCTGTACTAATGTCTGTCTTATTGGCATTTTTAAGGGACAGTGACTCTATTATTGCAAGGCAATCTATAGTTAGTGGAACAAATTTCTTTGTCACCGTCTTGGAGCAGATGACGTTGCAGGTATCTTCTGTCTGTGTCTGTACACATATCTCATTCACATGCACAAAAGTATAAATGCATATAAACATATCCCTTTCTACTTGTTCTAGAAGAATACTGTTATACTTTCCATAAACACAATAAGAGCAAAGGCTTCTTTCTTCTAGATAATGAAATAAGTGCTCAGGACTCTCAAAGGTTCAAGTTAGTACCGGACAAGATATAGATATTTTAATTAGCAGGGCCTTTGTCTTCAAATAAATAAACCAATTCAGTTTTACCAGAAAACATATAAAGAACATATTTCCAGATTTTATGTATTCTTAAGAAGTAAAGGACATGTTGCTAGAAAAAAGTAATCTATGACTTCACGCAAGTGTATGATATATGTTCAAACACTATTTGATATACAGTTTAACTCTTATTTCTCTCTTCCCTTTTCTGAATCATATTGTCTAATTTGCATGAATATTATGGGTCTTAATTAGTTTCACCGGCGTGGTAAAGTTGAGATATGGCTTGAAGAACTTTGGTCGTGGATGTCCAAGTTTAAGGATGCCGTTTTCGCTATTGCAGTAGAGGTAGGTGGTAACTTCCTTATGTTTGTCTGTATTTTATCCTTTTCTAGGATCACGGATGCCATTGTTGACATTGTATCATTAGTAAGGTAGGTGGTAACTTTGCTTCTCTCTGACCATCCTTAAACTTCCTAAGTGTGTCTGTATTTTTTTTCCCGTTCGAACATTTGTAATGTATCTATTGGCAATAAAATGCTTTATATCCCCTTTCGTTTTTCTAAGTGTGTCTATAATATATATATATATATATATATATATATATATATATGCATCAAGGATATTTCAAGAATTTGATTGTCAGGATATTCATCATCAAACGTGCCTACTCCTTGGATACATGGGCAACAGTATCCATACTTCATTAAAATGCATATACCTTTTTAAAATTGAAAAACTTGCATATACCTTTTAAATTTTCAATTTTAAGTTGAATCCAAAAATATGTATTAAATTTACTGCTGATGCTAGAATGCATTTCTATGGCATTGTGATGTAACTGTATAGTGAGAAGTAGTCTACTGCATATCTTGGATAGGATACAACTTGATGATGCTTATGTGTTGTAATTTTTTATTTCATTTGATAAGAATCAGAACATCTCTTAAAAAAGAAAACATACAAAGATATTGAACACCGCCATAATGCATATATGCTTATATGATGCTTGTCTTGCCTTGGTGCATCTTATGATCAATTTTTTTTTTTTTTTCAAAAATTTGTCTGACCTGAAATTTGCTTTGATTTGATATTGTAGCCTGGTTCTGTGGGGACAAAGTTGCTTGCTTTGAAATTTTTGGAAACGTATATTTTGCTCTTCACATCTGAAGGCAATGATTCTGGAAAACCTGTCATAGAAGGTACTGCTTTTCAGCATTAAAGGTCGTTTGCTTTATTTTCTCAAATAACTTGAACACAGAATAGTCTTACAGTGTTGCCAGAAAGAAAGAACTGTCTTATGCCTTTTTACCTAATTGCTTTTCCAGAATCTTATGGATAATGAGCTTTCACTAATTTTTAAGTTTGATTTGGGTGTTAATTTGGTTTTAGATACAGCATCAAGTAGAAGGGATTTTAACATTTCATGGCTTGTTGGTGGACACCCAATTCTTGACCCGTACATGCTAATGTCAGAAGCAAATAGGACTCTTGACATTCTATTAAATTTGTTGAGGTCATCTAGTAGTCTCCCAGGTTCCGTGACAATTGCCGTTGTCAATGGGTGAGTGCTCACTTGCTGGTAGTAAGATTTTTTGTAATCATTTTGTTTATTGCTATGTATTTTGTGTGATTACATAATTTTGTGGTTAGAAAGATCTTTTCCTTTTCTTGTCATGGATGTGGAAAAACATATAAGAATTAAGTAAAATGACACATGTCATGAAAAAATAGGATTAAACATGTGGCATCTAAAGATTAAGGTTTGTTGAGTGTGGCCCGGACTGCTTTCTGCATTCACCTGTTGTATATCTCATGTTCTTGATCAGCAAGGTAGGAATTGATTAACATTCGGGGGTACCTAAACCTTCATCCTAAGTGGCAATTTATATTTGTTGGACTTTTATGTATTACCTAGTGCAGGAACACAAGAGAGCCGTGGGTTTGCATAATTTTTTTTATGGATTTTTATTTCTAATTGAGATTGAAAAAGTTATAAAATCTTTATTCTGGATAACACGCTCTCTATATGTGCATGGGTGTTATCGATGCAAAGTTGAATAGAACTTAAATTTACAATATTTTCGGATGCCTATGGTTGCTGGTCACTGAATGTCATCAAGCATGTATTGCTTTAACATGATAAAAAGGAATAGAAATGCATAAACTCATGCACACTTTGGTTCTTGATTGTAGCTTTACTCCCTCCCCTCTATCTCTATTTTGTCCAGAACTTATAGCTGATAGAATCCAAATTTATTCTAGTTTAATCCTTCATCTTTCCATGAAAAAGTGACTAACCACTGGAAGTTTCTGTATTAATGTATTTGGTTGTAATTTAAGGTGATTTTATCATGTCTCTTCACTATTACTGATTCCGTTTAATATCTTCAGACTAACGGAGGACTTAAATATTTAACATATAGACGGTAAACACTTTTGTCATCTGTTTAACCATCTTGAAATATATGGAGGGATCACTGAAGCTTGGGAACAGCTTTAGTACAAGTTCAACTGCTTGTTTGTGATATTATTGCAGCATGCTGACCAGCTCTCTTATGAGGAGGTAATGGCATTGGGTACTGCTGCATTGGTGGTTCAGATAATGGGAGTTACAGGGCTAGACATGTTAAACTGCAATTTTTTTGGGTACTGTGGAGCACCATTGGCCGGTGATAAGATTGGATAACTGATGGATAAAATGGTCATCTTATGTGCCGAGGGAAACATGGTGGTCAAGCAACGCAGTTTATGGTTGTAAACTGTTAAGAGAGACCATTTCCTTTACCATTGTTTAGTTTATACGCTGTATGCGCATACAGCTAATATTGTGTGAGCTATTTGAAAATGTATTGATTATTTTATAACAGCTGATACACATACTACAAATTTAATAATCAAAATTTCTTCTTAATCCAGGATTGCTATTCAATATATTTCTTGTTTATTCTCCATCTCACATTCTGAGTTCTTTGTAACACTGGAATATTTGCATGGAGTTATAACAGATTTATTTAGAGTTTTTATGTGATCAACAGTAAGTTCACAACAGTATAACTCCACTGAGTCTTGAACTGTTTTCTATTGCAATTGCAAATAAAATGTGTTATAATATCAAATGTTTCTGGAAATTTAGGTGATGCAGACCTGGTTCCTTAAGATTGAATGACCTTTCAGATCATCAAATTGGTCTTGAAACCTTGAATGATTTTATTAACTTTTCTATCGCTAATATATCAAGCGGTTATTTGGTGAAGACTGAAGGAGGCTAACTGTAGAAATTATACACTTAATGCTTGTGAGTCCAAATCATTGTTCTGAGGATTATGTAATTGAGCAATTTAGAGATGCAGTTTGAAGTAGAGTAGTTGATTGTGTTGTCGATTCTCAAAAATTGTTTGTCAGTTACAATCAATAAAATGGCTAAAGTTTCAGTGGAAACATGTTGAATTTTTGTATTTTATAGGAATTTCAGTTGAATTTAAAAAGAACAAGTGTTTGATGTAGAACAAGTTTTCCATCATGCATCATTTTCTATTTCATGTCTTTGCCAACAAAGCTTTTGTCTCAGCAGCTATTCCTATAGTTTACATCTCATATGGATAGGAATTATTTTCTGTGTTTGTTTTCTGGCTACATAGTTGAAATTTCTGCTATATAGTTGAGTTTCATGTTATATTGTTGAATCTCTTGAAGCATTGAAATAGAAAAACTTTGGCAAAAAACCAAGAAAATATTTATGACAGGATTGCACAGGAAGGTGGGTTATTGGCAAAATTATGTTTAGATGTGATTTGTGTAGTGATTTTGTCTAGGAAGTAAGATGCTAATATGTTGGTATTTTTGGATATATGACAACTTGAAACACTCTGCTTAATTGTTGAAAGTTGTGTAGATGTGGGAAACAGTGCCCATGTTGGTAGTCATCTATAGCGAGTATTTTATCTCCACCTTTTTACAAGTAACAACACAGAACCAAATAGAATTGCACATGTGTACTTGTTTTATCTAGTGATATGTTGGTTATCCTACCATGCTTTCAGTTAGTAGGTTTATTGAAATCACAATACTTGCAAATGTTATTATCAGTTTTTTGTGATGAATTTTTTATCTGCACCCTTCTCAGCCAGTGTTTTGACTGTTATTTTGGGAACTGGATGGTAGCACTAGCGTGCTATAGCATTTATTCTTTGTGTCAGATTTGTCTCCTGAGTTAAGCTGAGGCTGTTGTGATCAAGGTGCTTGTGGCTGAAGTGTGATGAAAGTGGTGGTTGGTATAGATAATTCATCAGGATCCTTAGAAATCAGTTTTTCATTTCTTATGTGACTTGGTCCATTTTTTGGCCACTGAATTCTCTTAGGTTAGAGAATAGAAATGTGCAGAGAGGCTCCAGTTGGTGGGAGCTGTGTCTGCTTGCCCTTGGTTGTCTTGCTGCTTGTCCATGTCAACCTATTTCTGTATGATTTTTATATGTTCGAAGTTTGGATTAGGACTTAGTGGCTGTGATATGCAGTTGTGGCTGTCAACTTTAGTGATAACCATATGATTGCATGATGACTATCTGTTATCCCCTTTGATTAGCTTGTGTCCTTGTAACACAACTCCTATTGTACTGTAGAAAGGCTGAGGAAGGTTGAGTTGTACTGTTTTATCAAGCAACTAAGCGGCATGTGTTGATCAATTATCTTGGTTTTGACAAGTTATTTGATTGGATCTTTTCCCTCATTTGCTTCTCCATAGTTCTTATTGACTCTGGGAAGCATATACAAAGACCAAAATACTCTGGAAAGCATATACAAATACTCCTTTTCTGCTGTGATTTTGACATTAAGGTTCGAGTTTGTTAGTGTGTTTTTCTCTTGGCAGACACGATCCTCATGCTATGAGATTTGGATTTTTCTGTTCTTGAATAGTGATATTAGTCTAAATAATGCAGGGAACTAAGTTTTATGTTTAAAAATATTAAAATAGACGATATTTGTGACCTTGAGACATTTTAGGAGCAAAAGCATGGTTGAACAAAGCCATCTATATTTGTAGGTTTATAGGGATCCAAGTAGGAAATTTGTTAATCAAGACATGGTTAAATAGAATGAAAGAGGGATGTGGTGGAGGACTGGTCCGTACAAGATCTACAAAAAATAATATCTGTAGACATCTGAAGGGTGCAGAGGGTTCTAACTGTGTATCTGGGCTGGAAATGGGGATCTTGAGGACTTTGGGTCAAGGAGATTCTCTTGTGTAATATGGTGAATCCTCCTTTAACATATTTATCTATGTTTAGTGCAATTTCCTTTGAGGTTTCCTAGGTGGGCACCTCATATTGTAGTACCATGCTGACAGTCATGTTTGCTTAGCAGTTTAGTCTTTGTACTCCTGAGAAGTTGTCTTTCCCAAAATGAAACCTATGAAACTTGAGTCTTGTCAAATTTATTGGAGTTTTTCTTAGTCCTTGTGCACTCATAATTAAAATTTTAAGTTTCTTTGATCATATGGAGCTAGTATGTTAAAGAGTGTAGTTGATCAGTTTGATTTCGGCTTTCTGCATGTTTTGTTCCTTGTGTTTGCCTTGTGTGCTTAGGGTTTATGTAGATGCTGTGTTCTGAAAACTTAATTTCATCTGAAAGAGCTTGAACTTATTTTGTCAATGAAGTTGTCATCTCTTACTGTTTTAGTTTGAATACAACTCTTTGTATTCCCCTAGTGTTCTGCGTTTGCTTTTTAGTTTTCATGTTGGTCTTCTTAAGGAGTTAATTACCTTTCTTCTTCCTCTTAGTACTTCTTATTATTAAGTATTTTTCCTCTGACATGTTTCTTTTGGTTCAGTCTTGCAGCCATAGCACGGAAGAGGCCAATTCACTATAATACCATTCTTTCTGCACTGTTAGATTTTGATCCAAACTTTGAGATAGTGAAAGGACGCCATGTGGCCAGTATCCAGTATTCTTTAAGAACTGCATTCTTGGGATTCCTTAGGTGTACTAACCCGGCCTTAGTAGAGGTAACATTTTATATTCTTTATGTTTTTGGTTTGTTGTGGTTATTATCAAGTCATCACTGTTATTGCATCCCTTAAGATTGCATTTTTTACGGTGGAATTTCTTATTTGTTGTTATTATGGATTTTCTGATTTAATCAGATAAGGTATTGCGGTCTTACAAGTAACGGAGTATCTAATGCTTTTAGCTTTTCCACTTTCGTATCATGTAGCATATGCACATGCAGCAAATGGGTTTGTTTCTGTTGATTGATATGGCCTTTACAGTTTGTTTTGGTGGAGAGAGGTGGAGATAAACACGACCAAGCTTATAGAGAAGTGAAGATAAGAGAAAATAATTGTTCGAGTCTAGTTTATTCTCATAGCCCATTTTCATTCTCTTCTGGTCTCACAAAGTTGAGAGTTTTGGAGAGAAATGGTTTATTTAGATGCTCCAAATACATTCCTTAGTTCTTTTGCATCCATCAAAGCAAAAAGGAGAGAAATAATAGTATCTCCTTTCTTCTTTTCTTGCACATATTTTCTCCACTTTTATGTCACAGATTTTTCTTCTACCTAGAATTTCAAAGCGAACTTAAAAATGAGAATTTCTATTTTGTTTCTTTTAGGGCCTATATTAGAGTCGTCTTAAAATCTTTTGTCATTATGTCACAAAGGAGCCAGAATCATATCTTGATATGCGATAAAAAGCTTCCCTCTATTTTGGTTTTTTTTTTTTAAAATTTATTCTTTGGAAGTGGATCATCTTGTTTTCATCTTAAAAAAATAATTTTGGCATATAATGAGAATGGGCATGGAGATGTGGTCACATTCTGTCAGGAAATGTGGACATTCTTCATTCAAATTATAGACTTCTGTTATTTGCGTTATTAGTTAAAACCTTGGTGTGTTTCATTTATAGAACTCTGGATTTTGGCGCACAATCCTCCAGGGTAGATTCCTCATAATGGGGAAAACAGCCGAACTCTAGAAAATGACAGTAGGCTCTTGTGGGCATTTGTTTTTTTTTTCTTTCTAAATTGCGGAAAGCATGAGGCCTGTTAAGCATTAAATCATAATGCAAGTTCTAAAATATTTGTGTTTTCCATCTGGTATGGTGGATGATAAGTTCGTCCCTGTTACATTTCAGTCAAGAGATAGACTGCTGAGAGCTCTAAGAGCTATGAATGCTGGGGATGCGGCTGATCAAGCAATCCGTCAAGTTGAAAAAATGTTAAGAAATGCTGAGCGTGCGTCACGTGATGCTCGGTTGGCCAAGGTAAAATAAATTCAATTTTTTTCTTCTGATATATAGAATCCAATAGCTGAAGATTTTTTTTTTAATTGCCTCACACTTTGAAATTCCTATCATCAGGATGATCAACAACCAAGCCAGTTGCCTGTCCCAGGGGACGTGTTAAAGAAGAGACCTACACCTCTGGATGTTGAAGAGTCATCGAATAATCATGAATTGCCGTCCAAGAGAATTCGTTATGGTCCCGACTCCTATTCGACTTTGCCATTTCAAATGAATTCTTCTGGGTGGGATGCCACTTCTGTCAACGGAGTATCCTCTGACCTTCCTATGTTAGATGGTGAATCGACTCATGTGGAGCAAATGATTGCTGTGATTGGTGCTTTGATTGCTGAAGGAGAAAGAGGTGCTCAATCCCTTGAAATTCTTATTTCAAATATCCATCCTGATCTATTGGCTGACATTGTCATAACTAACATGAGGCATTTGCCTAAGATGCCCCCACTCTTGACAAGGCTTGGGAACTTGCCGGTTCCCCAGCAGATAGGATCCCCAACATCTTCTGTGCAGTCTCCAGTTCCCACTGTACAAATGCCTTTTTCTGCTGCAACTGTAACCAGTTTATCAGTTTCTGATATGTCCAATGTGAATAGTCTTCCCACTGATTCCAAGAGAGATCCACGGAGGGTAAACTTCAATAAATCTTAATGTCTTCATGTGATATTTACTATAATTTTAGGATGTTTAAATGCATTCATTTAATTCTTGGTTGCAATTTCAGGATCCCCGTCGCCTGGATCCACGGTATGTAGCAGTGTCTTCTGGACTGGCATCCGCACCCACTGCGGAAGATAATACTACTATGCATTCTGACTTTGATGGCTCAAATTCTTTAAATAAGCTTGATCCGCTGCCTAATGTGACGACTGTGGAGACTCCTTTAGCGACTCCCATGATCAAAACGGAAATCGATGAAAGGATTTTGGATAGTCAATTGGTTTCTGGAACTGGCCCACTAACTCCGAAGGGGGAGGTTCTGGATAGACCTGTTGAAATTGATGCTGATCCGGAGGTCAAATTATCTTCAGATCTCACAGATTCTCCTGTGCAAACAGTTGATGAGGACCTTGTTGCAGTGAAGCTGTCAGATATTGAAGTGAAAGATCAGGTTGAGGACCTTGATACCTCATCTTTTCTAGAATCTGATCAACATTCTCCGGTTCTTTCAAACACATCTGCATCGGAAGATACTTATGAGGATTTGCCTCAGGTTCCCATATATGTTGAGCTTACCCAAGAACAGGAAAGAAATGTGAGAAAATTAGCAATTGAGCGAATTATTGAGTCATACAAGTATTTGCATGGCACAGATTACAGTCAGATGCGCCTGGCCTTACTTGCTCGGTTGGTTGCTCAGGTAGTGAAGAATCTTATGATTGTTTGAACTCCAATTCAAATTGGCAATTCTTTCTCTGAGCAGATCGAATTAAATAGTTGAATATACTTGTTGAGTGATGAAATCTTAACATTACTGCCTTACTTTTGTGTCTTGAGATGAGTGGCTTAAAAAATTTCGTGAAGAATCTGGATGTTTGAACTTAAATCATTAGTCAATAACTAAATAAACACCCACACAAGTGGTTGCTTTAGTTTTGGCGTTAAACTATGCATCTTCCTAATTTGGAACATCCTTTTTAATGTGCATTGTCGAATTAGGTCTGAATGGTAAGTTTTCTGCTGGAGATATATTGGTAAATTTGGCATTGCTGTTATGTAGACCATTGTGTATCTGTTGTATGAACTCATACGGCATACTCTTTTTTACTGTGTGATTAATGAAATAGAATAAGGAGGTAATTTGAAATAATGTTAAACCTATGCATCTTTAATTCTTTTAATCCTTACCTCTATGATTCTTTGGAACTGGTTTACCCTTCTTGAATAAAATTTGGCAGGTGTCTTTTATGAACCTCTAGTGCAGCATGATATATTAATGTAATGCATTATATAACACAGTATATAACGAAGAAACATGGTATTGATTCTCGGTAATAAAAAAGTAACTTATTAATCATGACAAGAAGGTGCACGCATGTACACAAAACATATAGACAAGTTAAATAGAGGTTTAATATTCTAAGTAGCATACTAAGATGCATAGCATGTCTTCTTTGCCCACTGGAACAAAATACTAAGAACTAGCGCCTTCGACTAAATGAATGGATCTTCATCTTCTTCAGATTCTCTATTGTTTTTATCTAACTATGAAGACCACAAATGTTCGAGGAGCTGCTTGCTGAATTTGTTCTGTTTATAAAGAACAAATTTACCATGCCATCCAAATAGAGAATTAAATAATCAATTGAACTTGGTAGGATTCAAGAGATCCTGAATGAAGATATAATTAAATCCCATAGCTTTTATGCCAAAATCTGCTCTCTAATTATTGAATTTTCAGATGCAGAATCTCTTACAATAACCTTTTTTTTTTAATATTTCATTTTTATAGTTTTTATCATCTGCTTGTCATTTATAGCATATGCTAAATAATCTGTAAATATTTTGATGTCACAGATTGATGCAGATGATGAAATTGTTGTAATGCTGCATAAGCATATCATTGTGGATTACCAACAGAAAAAGGTAACTATTACTTGAATGTTGCACCTCCTCTTGTATGTTTAAACTTTAATCCAATAACTTTCTTGAACTTTTTTCCTCAAGTAGTACAGGGTTGATTGGGCTAGATACATTGTATTTCAAAAATTTTGTTAAAACTTTTTTTTTTAGAATTTTGTAACTTGTAACAGATTGGAAAGAGTGTGCTTAACCTTGGTTAGGTGATTTGAGAAACAAAGAGTTGGTTTTGCAAATTATTTCTATTGTTAAGCCATCCCATAATGTCTTGAGTGTACATGAATATTTTAAAAGGATTTTACTTTTGAACCAGGCATGTGTGAATAATGTTGTTCAACAGAAAACCATTTTCAACCATCTGTATGTCATGATTGCAATTGCAAACTTTTTATCCCTTGGTGAGCATCGCAAGAAAACTTTTAGTTACTCGATATGATATGCAAAAGATTTCTATTTGAATATGTTTCCCTGAGGAAGGTAGCGTGGTGGCATAGCTTTGAATTTTGATGTGATGTCCTCAGAAAACATGTTTCTAGTAGGTTCACTGATCTTCTCAAATATTACCAGCCATTCACTTTGGTTAAAGCAGATTAATTCTTGCTGTTAGGTCATGGTGGCTATTTTTCCACTGATGTTACTGTTTATTTTTTATCATTTTTCAAAATAAATAAAAAATTACATTTAACAATGAACAGATAGGTTTGTTTTTTATTTATTAATAGTATTCTGATTTGTAAGAATTCATTTCAGGGCCATGAGCTAGTACTGCATGTCTTGTACCATTTGCATGCTTTGACAATGTCTGATTCAGTTGAAAACTGTACATTCGCTACTGCCGTATACGAAAAGTTCCTCTTGGAAGTGGTAGGCACCTATTTTTCTGTTTCCACCTTGTTTTAATTTGTGTGAGAAGTGGATATATTATGTCTTTTAATTGCAGGCTAAGTCTTTGCTGGAATCCTTTCCTGCCTCAGACAAGTCATTTAGTAGACTTCTTGGTGAAGTTCCAATTTTGCCTGACTCCACTTTGAAACTACTTGATGATCTATGCTATTCTGATGTTATTGATCAACATGGGAAAGATGTTCGTGACATTGAGCGCGTCACTCAGGGCCTTGGGGCTGTTTGGAGTTTAATCTTGGGGAGGCCACATTATCGACAAAGCTTTTTAGATATCACTTTGAAGGTAACTTGGATTGAACTTTGAATAATCCAATTTATTAAATTTTTCGATTTATCTGTAGGTATTGTTTGTTTGTTGGGTGTGCTTCTCTCTTAAAAAAACAGTATAGAGGTGGGGAAAATGTCCCAAAAAGAACTTTTATTTTAATCCAGGTGATCAGGGGAGTAAAGAATTACTGTTTACTGATGTTTTGTGAAATGGCTAGTGAATCTATAATGTTTTACCTTTGTTCATAAATGGATGTATGGGTATGAAAGAAATTTTATGAACCAGACCAAGAATTTCTTGCATTCAAAGGGAATAATATCATAATGTATGAGGATGTATGGCTAGATTGTCTGTAGAGATGACGGTGTTGGAGGTTTAGCAATTTAGAATCCAGTATCAGAGAAGTTTTAAAAATGACCTATGGTCCTCTACAAAGTTAGATGTAATTGTGTAATAGTGATTATTTTAGGGAATTGTTATCAGCACTCCAAAAATCTCATTCTACACTCCTCACAAGTGTATTTTTCTTTCTAATTATAGAAAGTTTGGAGTGTAAAATGAGATTTTTGGAGTGCTAATATCAATTCCCTTATTATATTATCAAGAATGAGTTATTTATCTCTCTCTCTCTCTCTCTCTCAGACACACACACGCACAAGTACACACACATACATACAAGTGAAACTTGATAGCTGGCGTTCTTATATGCTAGCCTGCTGCATCATAAAAAAAGCAACTGTATTCTACATAAATGTTCCTGCTGGCAATGTTGAGGGTTGTACCAAAGACTAGGAAGTTATGATTGATTTCTGTACTAGTCATTAGCATGGAGTTAATATGGGTGCATGGACAATTTCCGTTTGTGTATTCTTTAAGTACTAAAAGATATGCAAAAGGAATAAGATACTTGCATCCAAAATTTTTTGTTTCTTCGTAGCTAGAAGAAAAAGAAACGTTCCACAACAAGGTTCTTTGGAGTGTTGTAATTTTGTGATGTTTTCTCATGTTGATGTATTACATATATGAAATTTTTCACAGTAACAGGTAGTCTGGGTTTAGTCTTATTTTGATGTGCTTGTCTTCTGTATGAAAACTGTTTCTACTCATGTAGTCTGCTTCTTGAGGTATTAATAAATATCACAAATCTGTTTTTTTTTTTATAATTTTTTATGAAAGAGTGCATAACTCAAATATATATTTCTCAAATCTGTTTTTTTTTATTTATAATTTTTTAATGAAGGAGTGCATAACTCAAATATATATTTTCTGCAGTGTGCTGTTCATCCACAAGATGAGATCCGAGCCAAATCTATCCGGCTGGTATGCGATTTACTTTTCAAATGCTCTCTGAAGCCTTCTAATGGCCTGGTTTCAAGAAATTGGCCGGGTCCCTTTTTTCACTTAATTTTCGCCTGACTTGAAAAGCAAGATATGTAGTCAGTTTTCTATTTTCTGATAATGCATCAAGTCATTTTTTTGTTTCTGTCCAACAGGTGGCAAACAAACTCTATAAGTTGAGTTACTTATCAGAAATGATTGAGAAATTTGCGACAAATATGTTGATGTCAGCTGTTGAACAATCTCCTTCGGGTATAGAGCATTCACAATCCGAGTCCACAGGACAAAGAGTTGAAGGAATGGTATGCTTCTTTCATTTGCTCCTCTATTTCCTTTCCTGTCCATGCAACTGCATGTTGCAACCAGCTGTGCGAGATCTTGTATGGTGAACAGTCTCTTTCTTTTTATCTACTCGGTCACCATTCTTTGGTAAATGCCACAAGCAATATAACAGTAACAGCATATCAATTGGCTAGACTGAAATTTTACATTTGAAATTCCTTTGGTATCTTAAGCTTAAATGATTTTGATACCTGATAAGCCAAAATTTCTGAGTTGCCTTCTCTCATGGTTTTTGGCTTTGGTTTCTAAAGGCAGTGATATCTTTATGAATCATTGGATAGCATGTTCATTTCCTGATTTTACTTGCTATTTGATGGTTGCTCTTATTATCTTCATAGTTCCTGGGGATTCCCATACTAAATGTCTCTCATTTAAGTTGCCATTTTGTACTTGGTGATATTAGCTTCTTCAGTTATTTGTGGGGGATAGCTTCTAAGTTTAGCATACCACGCACAATTAAAGTAGTATCTGCCTTGAACGTCGCTAACATCTCTTGCCCCCAATCCTTTTCAGGTTGGAAGCCAAGAAACATTGATTGGTGATTTTGAAACTTTGGAGTCTGGAAATACTGAAAATGATTCCACCAGAAAGGATCAACCTGTACCAGCCATGTCATTTCCTGAAGTTCAACGACTCATATCTTTGTTTTTTGCTTTATGTACAAAGGTTTGTCTATGATTTCTCATGACTGGTATAGACTAGCAACTTGTCTTAATTGTTTTTTTCCTTGCGACACTAATGTGGGTTCTTTTCATTTCTATTTTAATACTTGCAGAAACCTAGTCTTATTGAACTTGTATTTAATACTTATGGACATGCCCCAAAAGCTGTAAAGCAGGTGAGACTCTCATTGCTTCTGTTTATATAAATATTTGTAGTAATTGGTAGCATGTTAGATGAGCTAATATGTTTAGTGTATTACTTTCCATAGTTGGCAACTACTTAATGCATATACTTTGTTATAGATCTACAAAATCTGAGTTCGGGTTACACTATTGTGCTTAGTTCACCCAGCCAAAATTAAACTATTAAAAGTAAACATTCGGAAAAACATGAGAAAGAAAGGTACCAGTCAAATTAATTATTACATGATGGGTCCCCACATCAATTCCCTCATGCTCTTATCTCAGTCTCAACACCCACCAGTTCCTGACAACCTTATGTTGAGAGTGAATCCCACACTGGGGACAAGAGGGACCATGCATGTGCTTATAAGTAATTGGGATACTCCCATATTGACAATTGGTTTTATGGTGGAACCTCAATTTTCTTCATGGTATAAGAGCAGGCAGGTTGTCCTTGTGAACCCCAACGGCCACATGTCCTCCACGTCACCCGATTTGTGTTGTACACGTGTTAGGCTTGAAAATTCAGCCACACATGAGGGGGTCTCTTGAGAGTGAATCCCACATTGGGTAAAGGAGGGACCTTGCATGTGCTTATAAGTAATTAGGCTACGCCCTATATTGGCAATTGGTTTTATGGTGGAACCTCAACTTTCTTCACTTTATTGCCACCGTCGCTAACACCAGCTCCAAGCCACTTAACTGAAACAAATGCACAGGGCAAGAAGATGCAGAACCGAAATTGACCTTACCCCTTCTCTTGGTAATTGCTTCTTGGATGTCCAACATGGGACTCATAGGACTCCAACTTACCACCACCTTCATCATCATCATCTTTCACAAAGCCTCTAAGCTCTGATTTGTTTTGACTGGCTCACCCACAATAATTAGTTACCTTTGTTTGTTATCAAATGCCATATTTGAGCTACTGCACATTATCTTCTTGAATCTATCAGCTGTCTTGCATGTTTTAAACTTTTAAGACAGCAGTTAGATTCCAAACAAATCATCTAACATCTAAAAGAGTCAGTGCACTTAGTAGACCTCTTGCGCCAAAGAAAATCACAAAATTTGAGCTACTGCATGTTTTCTTCCTCATAGGTTATCATGTAGTAAGAGTGTCTGCCATGCTGAGATAAGTGGGAAAGCCATTCATTTTAAGGACTGGGAATTGATAGTATCTTTGTGCTGATTTGGGTCAGCATATTTCAATTGTCCTGTAGTCATGATCATTTGAGTTGGGCTGTTACGGAAATCAACTCTACATGTGGTGCATCATTATGATTGCATGATTGAATTAAAAATTCTAAAGCTTAAATTGATAGAATTCTGGCCCAATAATGTCACCCTCAGCTCAAACAAGGACACCACTATTTCTTGCATATTTCATAGCATCAGATTTAGTTGATTCTTATGCTGATTAACAGAAGCAGGTCTAAGCTACGGAATGATGGTTCAGTTTGATTTCTAGTCTAAAAAAATTAAATCGGATCTGCAGTTATGTATCAGTGTTTGGGATAGGTCTGTTCTTGTGCTGAACCTCTAAGGTTGTCTGTTTAGGTAAACGTCCATTCTACTAAGGTTAGACAAATCAGTGCTCCTGCCCTTCCACTTATTGGGAGGTGTAACCTATTCAGTACTTGCATTTGATAATTAATTTAGGGTTTTCCTTTGTTAATTAATTTATTTCTGTCTGTTAAAATCTGAAGAACTTATTTGCATTTGATGGTGGATATTAGTTGTACAGAGGAATTGGAAAATTTTGTGGTCCTCTAAGTTTGCTATTGGATTTCCACGTGCTGCATATTGTAAAGAAATTATATCTTGTTACCAGTAAATTAGCCTCATGTGAGAAACGATCTTATATGCTACTTATCCTCATCAAATTAATTGCTAATGCTCTACATCTAATTCTTATGTGTGCTTTCTGAATGCTGCAGGCATTTCATCGCCATATTCCAGTCCTTATAAGGGCCCTAGGGTCATCTTATTCTGAATTGCTAAAAATTATCTCTGATCCACCTCAAGGAAGTGAAAATCTTTTGATGCTGGTGGGTGTCATATTTCCTGTTTTATTATTAGTGTTTCTAATCTTGAATACTGTTTGTATTTTTTATTTTGCTTTATCCATAGATTTTTTGGACATAGGTGATACTTATCATTTTGTTTATTAACTTATTTTCTAAATGACAAGGTGCTGCAAATATTGACTCAAGAGACATCGCCTTCAGCTGATCTGATAGCCACTGTTAAACATTTGTATGAAACTAAATTAAAGGTTTTTTCTATTAACTAAAGCTTCTTCTTTTGAATTGTACTTAAATCTCTCGCTATTTCCATGTTCAAAACTGAGTTGGATAATTATTGGCTGCAGGATGTCACAATTCTTATTCCAATGCTGTCTGCACTTTCTAAAAATGAGGTTTGTTTCATAGGTTCTGCATCTCATTCTCTTGTACCATTTTGTCAAGTTATATTGGTTTAAAACTAGTTCCTAAAATCTAATCTGTTATAACGGCGGCAATAATTGTTTTGTAGTCTGGCATGCTTGTGTTATTGAAACCAAAGCATGATGGATAACCTTTTAACTCAGTTAAATTACAAAATTACGCTCGCTAACATGTTTAAACATGATTCACAGTGGACATTGATCTCATCTAACAATTAAATATAACGTCTTATTGATGTATTAGTTGAAAACACAATGGGTGCATGCTAGAGCTTTCCATTTTTTTCCGTATTCATGTCTGTAGAATCTTGCTAGGCGTAGTTTGGCCCAACCATTGAAGAATTCGAATCTGTGTGATTCAATGTAAAAATGGATGATTGCAATCTCAGGAATTTGAACTAAGGATCTCCCTTTATGAAACCATGTTAAATTGGCACAGGTGGGATTTTATTGTTCAGCAGCAAGGTTAAGAATACCCACTGTGAAACTTATATTATCAACATAACCCCTCCAGTGTAGGCCCCCTGAGGCCAAAAAATGGATCACTCAGGTTGATGATTTGGAGTACCGGATAGTGAATTTGGCCTTGCACATGAATGGATGACTTCTCCTGTACTAGTTGGGAGTGTTCATCCCAAAACCAATAGGCAATCATGAAGTACCTATGATTTAAATATATAAGATGGAGGTTGCTCACTAGCTCAACCGATTCTCAAGTGACACAGATGTCAAATCAAGTTTATAATCAAGTGAGACTAATGTCAAATCAACATAATTTTTAGGGCTTAAATTATGCAAAATCTTCTGGGGAGAGCACGCTTCAATAGCTGAACAAAGGCCCTTCCCTTTTCTTTTTTTAGGATGTGGGCCATATCTATGTAAGTTGTATATCTCTGGCAGAAGTTCAGTTGAGCAGCTTATCTATAAACTTTTCAACTTGAGTGGAGCACTTAATGAGTCACTTTTGGTAGTTTTTGAGCTTCACTTGCGGGCCTAGTTGTGTTACTAACAAATGTCCTTGCTTTTAACAAGTAACAAAAATAAACAAACTCCAATTGTGTTTTTGTTCACGAGAAAAGATATGTTATTTTGTTCGCATAGTTTATTAAGTAATACCCATGAAACAGTATCACATATTTTGTGTTATTTTTGTTAATGCAAAGTAGAAATTATTATGATGTTAGTTTCACATGGATTTTCTCTATTTCTATGTAACCATTTTATGGCCCCAGGTTTTACCTATATTCCCTCGGCTTGTCGCTCTTCCATTGGAAAAGTTCCAGACAGCACTTGCTCACATACTGCAGGTACATACGTTTTTCATTGTCTGATTTTCACAATAATGCTACTCTCTCTCTCTCTCTCTCTCTCTCTCTCTCTCCTATACGTGTCAATAATAACATTTATCAGTCTAGAAAAATATTGCGATTTCCATTTTTTTTTTGAACCTTTCTTTTACCTCCTAGACAACAAGTTCCATGAACGAAAATACCGATATGTTTGCCATTGTCTCAAAGAAAAACACTTCATGTTGGAGAAATGTACGACACAAAGTTTGACAAAACCTGAGTCAATCATTTGTTAAGATTTATATCCTTTCAATTGCAGGGCTCAGCTCATACAGGCCCAGCTTTAACACCTGCAGAAGTGTTGGTTTCCATCCATGGTATTGTCCCTGAGAAAGATGGACTCCCACTTAAGAAGGCATGTACTTACCGAATATATTTCTTTTATACAAGCCTTATCGAGTAGATGGTATTAATTTATGAACTGCCACTTATTATGCTCACACTGCATTGCCATCCCGTCCTATCTTCTATCCAATATTTTACAAGTGGTTATGTGCCCAAAATTTAGATAATATAATGGTTATAATAATTTGATATTGTAAGTATTGATCAATGTGGACAACTAAGGGTGTTGAGTGGAATTTGGACATTTAGCATTAGATAGGGCAATCCAGAACCATCACAACATTTTGAAGTTTCCCGCGTCCAAAATAGGTCTGCCCAAAATTACGGTGATGTTGTACTCTACTTATTAATCATCTTTACATTATATAAGGAGGACATGCTTTTCTAAGAAATACAACTCGAACTGATTAAACCCTGAAACATATTGGGATGATCAGTTTGTACTGGCAAGGTGCAACTAATTTTGACTTGTCAAGGTGCAACTATTCTGACTGAGGTTCAACTAATTTTGACTTGCTTTTGCCAAGGTCCATCCCTAATCAATTTGTCCTGGCAAGGTGCGTCCACCTGTTGGGTTTGATTTTTTGTCTTGTCAAGGTGCATCCCTTGCAGTGTTTTAAAAAACTTGCCTCAGGGCGCGCCTAGCTGCCCTTGGAGGCGGGGCTTCACCATTTTCGCCTTTGTTTTGTGGGAGTGGGCGAAAGACTCGCCTAGGCTTGTCGGGGCGCGTCTAGGGCGCCTGAGGCGTCAACTGGGCGCCCCTTTTTCTTTTTTAGGTTGCAGAAATCTGGATTTCTTTTAGTTGTAGGGCTGTTTTTGAGTTGCAGACCAAGAAACTAGCGAAGGAGATGGAGATGATGAAGACATCGGTTAGGGTTTTTTAGGCTGAGTTGGTTTTTTAATTTTTGTCTTTAAATACCCTATAAATACTCCACTCAACTTATTTATTTCATAATACCTTATAAATACTCCAGCCCATTTATTTCATTTTAAATACCCTATAAATACTCCACTCAACCCTTTATTTTCCTCAAATTCCCATAATTATTGCTTTATATCATTTTAAATACCCTATAACTACTTCACTCAGCCTTTATTTCCTTTTAAATTACTTATAATTGCAACATTAAGCCTTTATTTTGCTTGAAATTTTCCTATAATTGTGACCATTCATCCCTATTTTCCTTGAAGTTCTCTGTAATTGCTGACAATAAAATAAATAATTATAACATTTTGAGACTATATGACATAGTTTCCAAGTACAACTAGACTTAGTAATAAAGAAGATGATATTATCTTTGATTTAGTTATAGTTATATTTGCTTTTACAAAGTATTATATTGTTATAAAGATACTTACATATAATATATATTTAAATTTTAGGTTCCATGAGGCTTAGCCTCACGCCTCACGCGTTTAATACATTGATCCCTCGTCAATAATAAATGGTCTTACTATTGTGGCATGGATCTTAGTGTATTTGTACAACTCAATGAAGGCTCCCCTTAATTTCTTGATGCACTTACATGGTGCACTTTGTATGGTGATCGTATGGTTGCTCTCTCTGTAACATGTGCCTTGTATCATTATTAACAATTTTGTCTGCTTCTCTTGTTTGCAGATAACAGATGCTTGCTCAGCCTGTTTTGAGCAACGCACAGTTTTTACACAGCAGGTCTTGGCAAAGGCCCTGAATCAGATGGTATGTATATATTTTAAATAAATCTTTGTCCAGCACATAGTATTTAGTTGTTTCAAGCAACGGTTTTGTTTTCAGGTTGACCAGACTCCTCTTCCTCTTCTCTTTATGAGAACAGTTATTCAGGCAATAGATGCTTTTCCTTCACTGGTAGCTGCTCTCGTTCCTTTTCCTTTTCCTCTTATTACCTTTTCTTTTCGAATGGTGTTCCTGTTTCCTTATTCATGTAATATATGGTTTCATGCTTTTGTTCTATCCAGGTTGACTTTGTAATGGAAATACTTTCCAAACTTGTAAGCAAACAGGTACGTGTGTCCTCTTCGTCTGCTATTTGGTGCTGTGCACTCTTTCAGGTCGACCTGTCAGTATTGGTTATTAACATGGCTAGGGGTCTTATGTATTGACTGCAGGTGTGGAGAATGCCAAAACTGTGGTTTGGATTCTTGAAATGTGCATCACAGACACAGCCGCATTCTTTCCCTGTATTGTTACAGGTATCACATCATTGTTTATTTATATAAAGAACTTCCCCTTGCTTTCAACTGGTGATTTTAGTTTACAGCTTGCTTCCTATTTCATTTCCTTGCAGTTACCACCCCAACAACTTGAAAGCGCTCTGAACAAATATGCGAACCTCAGAGGTCCCCTTGCCACTTATGCTAGCCAGCCTAGTGTAAAAGCTTCACTCCCTAGGTATACTATTGTGCATCTCGTTGACCATCAACTTTACTTCGTGGAGGTTAATTTACAATGTTTTAGGCTAATTATAGATAGAAGTTCAAAGAACAGAGTCTATGGATTTTTTATCACACTCAGCCTCCTTCTCTGACACGTTTGTGTTATAAACTTTTAGAAGTAAAATTCTTTGACTACAAGAAATGTGATCTCTGTTTGTGTACGTATTACAATTGCTTTAAATGATTCAGCAATTTACATGACATCACAATTGTCTTGTTTCTCGGATAACTTTGTAGGTGGTTGAGTGTCCTTCATTCTACATCTTCTCTTGAACATGACTATTGTTCCAGTTTTTACCACAATCGACATATATAGCAGTTTTTATCTTCTATTTGAACTCACCGCATGTGTTTTGGCAGACCAACACTTGCCGTCCTTGGTCTAGCAAATGAAACGCATTCACAGCAACCACATTTGCCATCATCCTTTCACCCTGCAGACACAAGCTCATCAGTACATGGAGCAACTCCAACGTGATAATTAGAAAGTGTTCGGACACTGAGAAGTGACCAGCTATGTACAGTACAAATTGGGACATCTGATAATTCGAGAGCCACAAATCCACAAATGTCGGGAAGGAAGATATAGAGTGACCACGTATATGGCAGCTGATTACTTAGGGGTATTTGATCGCCGATTGGTGTAACCTAAAGATAAAATTAGTCCGGCTGCATATGGAAATATCAGTTCTTCGGAAATATTTCAGGCAAGAAAGAACCGGAAAAAACAAGAATTTATGTTGAAGGATACATCCGAGCCGCTTCCTAATGCTTCTCCGTGCCATAAAATGGAGTTTGAAATATATGTATCTGTATTTTATCCTTCTGAATTTTGATTCTTTTAACCTAATCCTCAGGCAGGTTTAAATTTTGAGTCAATTAAATTATAGGCTCCTGTAAATTATAGTTGTATTTTTGCTTTAGTTAGTTCATATTCTTTTGAATTTTCGTTCATTTCTTTCTCCAGAGTTATTTTTTGATCTAACATTAAACATGTTTTGATGAAGGGGACTGAAAATCATGAGACAAAACGACCCTAGTTTGCACCTACAACTTCGTCGTTGCTGTCTGTTTGTCAACTTTATCATGTCCTGATTGTATACCTAGTTTGCACATCTACCATGTCAAGCCCTATATCTACATGCCACATAAATATTACTTGAAAACACAAGTTTTAAATATTACATATAAAAAAAAGAAAAAAAGGAAAGAGGTTCATTAAAACACATCACTCTTCACAACAAATCAGCATTATTGCAAAATAATAAGTGTTGGAAGGAAAACACGAGTATCTAAGAGACTCAAAGCTCTTATGAGAAGTGTTTATAAATGGCTGAAAATGTTTTTTAAAAAAAGTTTTTGTCACCGATCTTTAGTAAAAGTTTTAGTTAATCATAAAAAAAAAACACTTGAAAGCACTGCAAGTGTTTTTAGAACTCAAAAATATATTCTCTAAAAACGTTTGCAATCATTTAAAAGCATTTCTCAGTCTCAGACAAGGCCTCAAAGAAGAGAGAGCTAGCTAGGGCTTTCTTGAGTAAAACTATCAAAACAATCCTTCTTAACACGTTGATATGGGTTAACGTGAGTTAACACTCAACCATGCAACACGTTTGCTGCATGTTTTGGATTATGCAACTGGCACTGAAGAATTTGGGATTACTTGTAAGTTCGTGCATCATAGAAAGACAAAAAGAAATCAAGGGCTCGTGTTTTCTATATTTTTTTGTGCGTGGAGGTTGCACATGGCCTGCAGCGGTTGTTGAATTTGAATGTGTCAAAGTCTTTCAGGACAAGTTGCCATTTTGCTTTCCTTGATTGGAATTTGGGTACAATACAAGGCGGTCTGCATCACGGAGTATGGCATCCGTAACAAACCTAACTCGTAACAAACCTAACTAACTCCCACCTATTTCGGCGAGAGCTGTGCTAACTGTTCGAGCATTAAGCAATTTAAAAGAACAATCAAACGACACCAAACCCCGGGAGATGTACAACAAACAAAAATTTCGTTTCTGTTAAAAGAATATCACGCAGAGAACAACACAATTTGACAACCACGAATCTTCGGTTTGTTTGCCATCACCAGCTGAGTTTTTTCAGGCTTGTTGGTGCTTCGATTGTACCACAATCAAGCAATGATCCGTTCAGCGAGCGGTGAAGCACCAACATGAAAGTCAAGAACTGTCATAAAACAAAGGATATATATATATGTTAGATCGTTTTCTCTACTGGGGTAAAAGGTTTTTATGTCGTAAAATAAAACTACACGCCCACTGCCAAAAAGAGGGGTCAAAACAGTTTAATTTGTTACAGTTATAGTTAATTTGAGTTTGATTTTGAACTCTAGGGAATGGTCAATCTATTCAACATAAAAAGTTGAAATACAAGAGTTCATGGTGCTTGTATGCAGAGAACAATTTCATACCTTTCTCAAGCTATAAGCATCAAAACTGCACGGCTAGTGAGTTCTATCGTTCAATGGGGAGAACAACATCAAGGTTCATCGCAAGTTGCCAGCCTTTGGGATAAACAAGACCATGAGCTTCCAAATGAAGATGCCAGTTCATTACTTTTGAACAGCCGGCTGGGGTACCTTCCATTTGACTCTCATCTTCCACAACTTGTTCTATAAAAGTGGTCTCCTGAAGATGAAGGGGGAGAGAAATGTCAGTGCCTGAAGATACAAGAAAACATTGCCAATCACAAGTACGGGAACATTTCAACAGATGATATGAACCGTACTTGGAAACCCTCCTTCACTGTATCTAATTGTCGAATTGGAGCAGAAGTGGGGCGGTGCCATCTCTTTGGATCCCATAATATTGTGCTATTAAATGCAAACCCTGACATATCAACATGAAACCTACGAAGTCTTTTGCTTTTCTCATTTGTGTGCCATCCGACTACTTGGCTCCGATTGCATACTGGACCTTCCAATATCGCCTTGTTTTTGCTTTGAGCTAACATAGCAACAGGCCAAGTTCCAAATCGGCTTCAAAACAAATAAAACACAAATTAGCTATTAAACTAGTGTGATAAATGAAACTAAATTCGCATCTTTCCAGCTGAACGACTTAATTTAGTAAAAGAGACTGAAATTTGGATGAAAGAAGTGGACATTATGTTCCACCAGATGACAAACAAACAGACAAATGTACATGAAACTGGTGAACTATACATGTTCCACCAGGACCACTACCTAAAGTTAGTAATACTGGCAAATCGTACATCTTCGCTTGAAGACGAGAATAACCAAATTTAAACTGGGAACAATATTCTAAGCCATTTGATTATGTAAATCTATCAACAAATGAGAATTCCAACCAAATGTAGTTTAGTGAAGTGAAAGAGTTGCCAAGCTATGATTTGAATGTATGAAAATATTTGGGCACAATCGAATCCACGGATCAACAAGGAAGACATGGCATCTAAAATGCAGGCAGACCCAAGTAGCTCTAATTGTTAAAATTGCAATAGCAGACACATTCCGAACAGAAATCTCGAGAAAACCATCACTCTAAAACAAGCATATGAATCGGAAACAAACACCAACAACAGAAAATGTGACTGAAATGAAGCTCAATTTCGAAGATAGATTAGATACCTAATGTCCCTCAAGCGATCAAACAAGTCGAGGGAGTATATATTATCGTCGTCTGCAAAGTAAACAATGCCATCAAGCCTATGCCGCTCAATGTGCTCCAAAGCAGTGTTTCTCTGATAAACACCCCGGTCCTTGGCCCTAGTCGAATTGTTGCCGCACACCAAATGCCTATACATCACGCCGCTCTTCCTCAAAATCTCCGCCGTCTCCATCGACGCAGCGTTGGTCTCCACCACAATCCAAAGCAGTGGCCGGGGTACAAGCCCCAGCAGCTGCCCCAACCTGTTTAAGAAGTAGGCCTGCAGTGCGCGGTTGTACGTCGGCGTCACAATAATCAGCAGCTTCCTCGGCACCAAATCCACCCTCCTCTCCACGACGCCGAGCCTCACGTCGACGAGATCTTCCCTCCGTTTCACTGTGCGATCCGCGTTGTCGGTGTCGAACTGGACATTCCTCCGTTTCTCTGCGCGATCCGCGTTGTCGGTGTTGAACTGCACATTCATCCGTTTCACTGCGCGATCCGTGTTGTCGGTGTCGAGCTGGACATTGACGTGCGGCGGCTTGATGTCGAAATTGAAGCTCCGACCTCGAATCTCGTCGTCGTCAACGTGGCCGAACGGCAATAGGCCGAGTAAAGACCCTAAGAAGAAGAAGAGCAAGCACCTGTAGAATCCTCGACGCCATTGCTGGCCTTTGCGATTAGGTCGGTGAAAGAGAACTCCCGCGACGAAGCTCCGGACGGAGACGGAGAAGGCGAGAATCGCCGACGGAAAAGGCGGCGAGTATCTGGAGCTGGAGAGAAGCTTCTGCGACGGCGATGGCACTGAAAATGGAGAGCCGCCTCCGTTCACGTACGGCCGGTCTTGGAAGGCTGGCGATAGAGTTCTCCGGATCGACGCCATTGATCGATCTAGGATATAAAAAAATCCTCAAGGTTTCCACGACATGATCGAAATCGTAATCCCTCCCCCAAAATCCACAGAAAACGATTCGACACTCGAAAAATTGAGGAAAAAAGTTCAAAATTGGGGAAAGTAAAATCGGGTCGGACTTTTGTCAAGAAATGGTAATCGGGTCTAACGCGGTGGACAGAGAGAGTGTGCGGGCGGGGGAGGACCGGAATGTCAAATGGTGTGTATGCGAGGATTGTGAAATAATTTGGACTTGAGAAGAAGCACTTTTGCAGAAACGGGAGCTGGGTTTTGGTTAAGCACTTTTGAAGCAGTAGGGAGAGAGCGGTTCGGGAGGGGTTTTTACCGCCGACGGGGAGTGTGCTGTCGCTTTTTGGATTGGCTGCAGACCGTGGACCCAATTTCTTTTAGTTTAAGCTACGCGTTGGGCCGCCATTGAGGAGTCAACACGTGTCCAGCTGTGGTCCAATGTGGCAACACATGCACATTTTTCCTCCTTTTTTTGAGTTGTTGTGGTTTGGTGGTATTTACCCATGGCAATTGGTGGTACACTAGTGTGTGTATATATATTTACTCTAAGGTCCGGAGCAGATTTAATTTATTTTATCTCTACATCTCTAACTTCAAAACTAGCACATCAGTGCATTCCTCCATTATTTCTGACAAAACCCATCAAAATAACAGCAAAATATTCTCTCGTGTTCATCAGCAAGTCAGCTTGCTAGAAACCCTTATCAGCCCTCATTTATAATTTCATCCTAGGTTTTTGGCTGATATGTTTGCTTGTTTGAATCATTATCTGGGAGTTGGCTACTTGTATAAATTATTAAAACTAACAAGTTAGCTTGCTAGAAACCCTTGTTGCTATCTCATGTAAATAGACACTGACATGGAAGCTTTTTTTTTTTTTTCTTCCCATATTGCAGGAATTTGTTTCATGTCCAACAAATTGGAAGAAGTTTTCTCCGTTGAAATTATAAATGAGGGTTGCTAAAGGTTTCATGCAACAAGAGTTTCTAGCAAGCTTACTTGTTGATGAACTCAGGATTATATTTTGTTGTCATTTGTGTGTGTTTCGTGGGAAATAATGGAGGAGTGCATATATGTGCCATTTTTTTTTTTTTTGAGTATTGGGTGTCGAGATAAAAACATCAATAGTTATTTTATTTTATTTTCTTATTCTTATTTATTTAAGGGCAAACTTGAAACTTTAGTAGAGAAAACTGTTTAGTTGGGTGTAGAAGTAGGATAGTTGGGTCCAAATAAAATTTCTTTTTCTTGAATTGTTGTCGTTTGATGGCACTTACCCATAGCAATTGGTGGTAGACTAGTATTTCAATTTAATCCCAAATATAAATAAGTATATATAATATACTTTTTGAAAAAAAATTAAAAGCATTACTCTAAATAATTAAATCGAAATGATGTCACATTAACGTATTCATTGTAATTAATGGAAAAGGATCCTCGTCGGATTCTTTTCTTGGAGATCCTAAGGATCTCGCAATTGTGACCGTTCATCGTACATTGTGCGGTCAGTTTTCGTGTGACCGTTCATCGATATACGATGAACGTGTACGATCACGGGATCCCTAGGATCCGATGAGGATCCTTTTCTGTAATTAATTAATCTCATTTGTAGAATAATCGGTATAAAGACTATTTAAAAAGTTTCTATAAGGCACTAGGTGCTAGTTGGGCGGCGGGTTGGGGTCTAGCGCCTAAGCAGCTAGGCGGGGCCTAGGTAGATTATGCTAATTTATTATATTTCGTATAAATAAGTTAGTTTATACTTAAAATATAAACAATTTTATCATAAAACTACAAAATAGAACGACATATATATATTATGAAATATTGGAACATATTGAAAACATAGGGAAAAAGCATATAATATGTGTTTATTTAAGTCTACAATAAGTCTTTTACAATTTATTGAAAAAATAAATAAAATGCAAAATGAAGGTTATCTATTTTCTGTTTAAGTGAGTCGCGATCTAGACGGGTTTGGGCGTGCTAGGCGAATGCCTAGGCGGTTTAGGTGGGCACCTCAGCAGGTCTAGATGTCATTTCTTAATTTTTAAACACCTAGATATTAATCAGGACGGTGGCTAACCACCTAGCCCCTAGGCATGGCCTAAACGACAGATTCTTAGAACAATGCTATTTAATACTCCTAAACGGATTTTGTTTGTTAAGGGGAAATCTACAAGTTTGATTTTCTTTCCTTGAAGAAGGGAAATTAGATTCTATTTAGTGGAAAGTATTTCCTTTTGTTACATATATAATTTAATAAAAGGTTTGGTCTTGATAGTGTGAATTACTCACATTGATTCATCTGTTGGACGTTTTGATTTAAATAATGAATCATGATCTTCGCCGGATCCTCTTTGTAAGGATCTTAAGGATCCGTCAATCATATTTGTTTATTGTACATCATACGATTAAAAATTATTTTAAATTTATTTATTAAAAATTAAAAAAAATAGTACCTGAGAAAAATTGACTACATGGTGTACAATGAACGGACACGATTCACGAATTTGAAAAGGATCATGTTGGTAATTAATGACTAGCCTCTTGTCACACGCATACGCATGTGACAATTAGCTCTTTTTTATTTTTTATTTGAAAAAACAAAAAACAGAAAAAATAAAATAATAATATATCTAAAAAAATAATAAAGTTAGTTACTAATCACTTTGTGGGATTCTAGGGATCCCGCAATCTTGTCCGTTTATTATATATCGTGTGGTCATAAATCATTTAAAATTCAAATATAAATAATACCTAATGAAAACTGACCGCACGATATACGATAAACAGACACGATTCCTGAATCCCTAGGATAAAGGATCCGGTGGGGATCCTTTTCCCACTTTGTGGGTTGGTTTTTTATTTTATTATTTATTATTTTCTTATTTTATTTGAAAATTTAATAGGAGAGGGCAATTTTGGAATTATGAATGTTTCGCTATTTTTGCCTTTTCAATTTATATATACTAGCCTTCACGCGCGTGCAGAAGATATTTTTTGAATCACAGCGTGCTACGCATGACTTACATGTATTAAATATATTTACATGCTTAAATTGACAAAAATAAAGTTAAATATTTGAAGTAAATGAATAATTTTAGATCATGCTAGAAGAAACCCCTCATAAACCAATTAAAGCAGCTGAATTCACATAATAAAACCAGTTTCTATAGAATTTACATTAAGAATATAGAAAATAATATTTAATAAATAATTGATTGAATCACATTATTGATAGTCCATTGTGAGGCTAAGCCCACCTCATCCCCTTTATTATAGATAATATCGTTTGTTAAAAAAAATTAATCATTTGACAATTAATTTAATCACATTATTATCCGCGTGCGAAAGATTTTTTTTATAAAGAAAATAATATTTAATAAATAACTGATTGAATCATATTATTGTTAACTTATTGTAAGGTACTAATTAAAAAAAAAACTTTACTAATTTATTACCTGCACTACGCTCCTCTCAAGATATATTCATCATTTTCCTTATTTTTTATTATATTTTATGATGATCAAATTACCAAATTACCCTTGCATTATTTGATATATTATATTAGGCTGCTTTTGGATTTTTTTTTGGTTGAGAGGTAATTTTGTATTTTTGTTGAATGGCATGACCCCAAATTTTTGTCGGCATGCATGACCCCATTGGGGCGCTGGCTTTCTATTATATAGATAGAAACTATGACACACCCATTTTTCGGTAATATGAGATATTTATGCTTGTGGATCACCCTCTTTAAGTAAGTTGATTCTTGTTAAAAAAAAAAAATATAGATTTGTAATTTGACAAAATAAATATTGACGCAACATGAGCGTAAGGTTACAAGCGTATGCTCTCAAAGAACTAAGTTTTTTGGAGTCCACTAGAGTTGAGAGAAAACCCAAAAGGATAATAGACTAATTTTGAATTGATCATTCCAATAGCAATCATGAGGCTTATGGCGGAACCTATGGTAATACTGCAAGGCTGTATGCTGGGCCGGTACATGGGGTGGAATGATATTATCATTGAATCAGATTCTTTGGATTCAGTCTCTTGTCTCCGGTATTTGAATACGATGGGCAGTTGGGAAGCTTTTTCTATTTTAGCTAAGTGCAAAGGTTTGGGGAAGGCTTTCCATGACTATTTTAGCTAAGTGCAAAGGTTTGGGGAAGGCTTTCCATGACTGCCGCTGGTCTTGGATTCCAAGATCGGCCAATACGGCAACGGACATTTTGGCGTCGCGGCAATCTAGGGAAGTATGTGATTATGTTAGGGTCAACCAACCCCCATCTTCCCTTGTATATGTTATGTGTAATGATGATCTTTCCTGCCCCCCTTAGGCTCTTAGCGGGTAGTGCGAGGAGTGACACTTTTAGCATTTGATGCGGTGTCGTATGTACCTCCTTGTACTGCTCTTCTACCTTTGCCGTAGCTGGCTTGTTTGCCTCGAGGTAGGCTTTCTTGTAATCTTTGGCATCTTTGCCCGGTTATTGCATTTTCTAGTACTCCAAAAAAAAAAAAAAAATTAAAAAAAGAAGAAGGCTTAACTTAACCCTCGGGAAGTTAAGGGGAGTATTAAGAAAATTTGTAAAAGAAGTTTTAGGAAAGAGTAATGCTAAGTAGATTAAATTTACAAATTAAATGTGTTACCAATAAGAAATAAGCACGTTAATTAATACTTGAGTAATAATCCCATAATCAACTTTCATGTCATTTAGTTTACAAAATTTTGTCTATAAATTTAGTCTCCCTAATGACCTTGGATGACTAAAATCATTAACCCACAATGGACCTCGAACGCCAAGTCTTTATTTTCCCGTCCTTTTGTCTTCATTAGGTCTATTTTGACTTCAATTCACTTGGCCATCTATTATACATCAAATAATTATGTGACGAATATTACTTTGCCAATAGAAGAACACCCTTTTGAAGTTAAAATTGGTGCTGCAAGGTCTGTTACAATGGAGTTGTAAGTCTGATTCCAATTCGAGTATAAAGATGCGAGTGGAGTATCAGAAGCAAACCTTTGATGGGGCGCTAATCCGTGCCAAGGAAGGAGGATGAGATAAACTGGAAAGCTAAAAGTACGGTTCAA